CCTCAGCTGACCAAGCCTAGCATTGCTTCAGCTCACAAACTTCACCGGATTCGGGTTCCATTATCACACAGCAGAGCAGAGAAGGGTGTATAAGAAGCTTAGCTTGGCAGACATGGAAGGGAACAAAGAGTTTATTGGAGGGAAAGGCCAGGAGCAGAGTGTCTATGCCTTTTGAAGGAGAAGCACAGAGTGAACACTAGCCTCAGCTCTCCTACAAAAGAAAATGCAGTTACATTCTAAACACAGCTCAAGAAAAGTCACATTGTTCCACTTTCAAATGAATAGAAAATAAGATTCCTGGACAGATTCCTCCTTCTCCCGCCCCCCCCCTTCCCCCCCCCCCCCCCCCCCGGGAATAAGTGGGAAGTGAGTGGAGACACATTTCATCTTTCTTGAAAAGGCCTTCTCAGCTCCTTGGATCCTGCTGAGTCAGGCCACCCCACCATCTGCAAACTCAAGAACCTTCAGTCATTTATCCAGCAGCATTCTCCGTAGTCCAACAAGGTGCCAAGCAATGAATCCAAGCGGCTGCCTGGTTGTGGGTCTCGTTTAGCCTGCACATGATATCTGTGGCTGAGCCTGGCCTAGGAGGTGTCTCGGTGGGACCTACTGATGTGTAGACAAGAGATAGTCCCAGCAATGCAGCTCAAGCTTGGATCTTCCAGAATTTCTCTGATAAGTAGAAGAACAATAATATTGGAGTAAGTAGCTAATCCTATTTGGTTCTTTTCTGCCCATGTGGCCTTAAGTGATTCTCCTGACTTCTTTCCACTTGTTTTCTCATCTGATGAGTGATTTAGGTAACATCTATCTCTCAGGATTCCTGGGAATATTAGGAATAATATCTGCAGCAGGTATAATCAAGGACTTGCCACAGGACGTATGCAAGCCCATCAGGCCAAACCAAGCTACAGGATCTTGGAGCCCAAGATTTCACCAGGCTTGGAAAGCAGGTGCATAGAACAGTACAGTAGCCTGGACAGTGCTAGCTAGCCCCGCTGTCATGAGGATGCTGAACCCAATGCCACCCTACTAGGGCCCTCAAAAGAACTTTTTCTACCTCCTTATTGGACAAATCAAGAGGCACAGCCCCAGAGAGAATGGCTGTTGCTGAAGGCTGTTCAGCACAGCAATGGTCCAGCTAGCATTGGAACCCAGTCTCATGGCATAAGTGACTGTTCATCCACTGTTTGTCCAGAAGACTGAAAACTATGCACTCAAGAGGATGGGAACTGTATTCTGCCAGATCTGTGTGGGAGTCCCAACTCTGCAACTCTCAGTCATTCAATGAACACTCACTGATGTGTGCCAAGCCCCATGCTCTGTGCATGGAGACACAGTGGGATGGGATCCACATAGCCCCAGCCTCGCTACTACTCAGTCTCATAGGGGAGGAAGCAATCAACCAATCACCCCTGTGAGAAAGTAGGGAGGGCCCTGGGGAACAGGGACAGAGGAAGCAATGGCCAGGAGGGCAGGGACATGGGGGAGGGGGGAGGAGAGGAAGTGTAGAGGGGATCTTCAGTGTGTTCATAACATAAATCGCAAAGGCTTGAGGTCTGAACTATGCAAAGGGTGTCAGACTAGCAAAGGATGTCCAGGTAGAGCTAGGAGAAAGGAAAGGAGAAGAGTAGGCTAAGGTATGGGGGAAGGACACAGTCAGAAGAGAGACCTGGAGCACCCCAGCAGCAAACAATGAAAGTATGGCCTATTTTTTTTATCAAAAATATACTTGGGCTCAGTGGTTGAGTGGCTCTCTAGCAAACATAAGGTTCCCAGTTAAACTCCAATACACACACACACACACACAGAGTCATTTCTATTTGTATGTGATGATCCATGTTTCTGGCCTCAGGATCAAGCTCTCTGAGCCTCAGCCTCCTCAGCTATAAAAAGAGGGTGAAATAGTATCCACCTCTCAGGCTCCATTGGAGACTAACAGGTACCTATCCACACAGAGCCCCCTGTCCCATGTACTGCCCTATGCTCACACACTGTTGATTCTACAGCCTGCCATGAACCACTGCCTTCAGCTCCCATCACAGATCAGCAGGGGGAAGTCAGTAGAGCCCAGTGACAGGGATAGCTCACAGGTGGCCTAGGTAACATACACAGCATGTTACCATCAGGGGACAGCAGAGAGGTAGTAGGAAGTAATGATTGCCTTGGCCACCCTGCAGCCTGATTTATTATGACATAAAGAAACAATTTAGTTCCCAGCAGTTGCAGGCAATCTCTTCTTCCACCCATCTGTATTTACACAAAGCCTGTGCGCCAGGCCTGGGGTAGACTGGAGGTTTCTGCCCACATCTGCATAGCCCAGGGTCCTGGACAGAACTGCAGATCATTACTCGCCTCATGCTCTCTAGGATGGGCTTTCCCATCCTCGAAGTCACCACCCATCCCAGCATCTGAAAACCCTCCAAGTTCCCCTTGTGATCCCACCTCAGGGACCTTGACACCACCAGGCTAGCCCCAGAGCAGAGCAGTTGAGGCCCAGGATTTGTAATCTGCTAGGTGGCCTCAGGTAAGTAAACTCATTGTATTCCTCCAATTGCTCATCTCTAAGAAGGGCCAGAAACGCCTGCTTTAGAGTTACTGTATGGATAAAGGGTGTTAGGCATGGAAAACAGCAATGGACACTAAATGAAAGACAATGGGCACCAGTCTGTCATCCTGGGACTTCACACCAGTGCTCCTTCTATGCACAATGGTGTTGGGCCTTTTGATAAACCCATCCTATACTGAAAATGTCCGAAGTCAAAGTGCATTCACTCCACCTCACCTACCCAAACATCGTTGTTAGGCAACATAGTGCCCTGAAGAAGATGGATATTTCCCTTCTGGTCACATGGCAGGACCAAGAGCTATACTTCTCATCCAGAATTAAGAGAGATGATTATGCCACAGATTGCTAGTCTGGGGAAAGAGCAAGATTCAAAATTTGAGTAGTAGTTTCTAATAAATGTGGTTGGCTTTTGCACTGTCAAGTCAAGCTTGGGCATGGTAGCACATGCCTACTATCCCAGCTAGTCAGGAGATAGAGATCAGGAGGGCCTACTTAGGCAAGAGATAGAAAGATTCTACCTCAACGAACAAGACAGATCTGGAGGCACAAACCTGTGGTCTCAGGCACTCAGGAGGCAAAAGTAGGAAGATCGCAAGACTGTCATCCAAGTCAGGGTTAGGCAAGAACACAAGACCCAATCTAATCAACTAAAAGCAAAAAGGGCTGGGGTGCTGCTCAGGAGGAAGAGCACTTGCCTAGCAAGCACAAGGCCTAGAATTCAATCCCCAGTACCTCCAAAAGATTGGAAATCAAATCATCATAAATACTGATTGGCATCCTTTACTGAAGGCTAATTACCTGATTAGGAAATATGCTCACACTTTTAAATAGTTTTTCTATAAATCTCATGACTAATCTTCTAAGTATCATGATGTTCATTGTGAGGTGTTTGGAGGGACTTACAAGGTCACCTTCTGGGACTGTGTAGCTGGAGTGAACCCTGACCTGATGATTCTGGAGCTGTTACTGCTCAGCCCAATCCCAGTGCTCCCAAAGGTCATGTGAAGTCAGGCAGGCAGACTCACACTGTCTCTCCTGCCTTCCCTCCAAACACCAACATTTCCTAAGCACCAGATCCAAGACAAGCCCTTTGCTGGACAGTGGATGTAACAAGATGAACACAGAACACTCCACCTAAGGAGCTCAACCCTTCAAGGAGCAAAGAGGAAAACTATATCCATACCACCCAGAACATTTTTATAGCAGTTAGCTTTGGGTATATAACAAAGAATCCTAAAACTTAATAGCTTAAGAACGGGTTATTATGTCTCTCAACTCTTGAGGTTAGTCAGTTTCTAGTAGTCAATCATGTGGCTCTACTCACCTGACAGGTGGGTTGGGCTGGAAGGTCCAAGATGCTCTTATTCTCGGGTCTGACAGTTGATTTCGACTGATGGTGGGATGTCCTGATCTCTTCCAGGTACCCTCAAAATGTCAAGTAGTCTACATGGACTTCCTCACAGGGCAGAGTTCCAGAAGGACAAAAGCAAAACCTGCTAGGCCTCTGGAGGTCTGGGACCCAGAATCCACAGGTGGTCACTTCTGTCATTCTGCTAGCCAAAGCAAGTCAAACTCTATTGCTCAGCCAGGATCTGAGACATACATTTAGGCCTTTGCAGTAAGGCTCAGAGGTCAGTTCAGAATGAGGGGGAAGGAGTGTGTACCTTAGTCAAATGGGACCAGAACGGCCCAATACACTTTAACTCATATTAAAGGAGGTTGAACTATGAGGTCATTAGAAGGGATCATACCCCTTGACCCAAAGAAAGTCAGTTATGGGAATAGCATCAGTATGCCATAGAACTAGTTTTCATCTAAAGAAACAGGAATTGTCTTACCCCCAGGACACACAGCAAGCTTGTGACAAAGCAAGAAAGACTCAGGTCCCTTCCAGCCAGCTCACTCCTCCTTCTATTCCAGCTGATGATGGCCTTCCTCAGAAGTATGTCTCCTCTACCAATCTCTGCTATTTGTTTACTGAACACCCTTCCAGCGGGCCATGCACTGTATGAGATTCTTAATCACAGTCTCATCTGATCCAAATGTAGTCCATCTTACAGGTAAGACAAGATCAGAGATAGCAGCTGACTCACCTAGGGTCTTCAGCTGACTAACATGGGTTTTGCTTAACACCAAATCCTAAGCCTTTCATGCTGTGCCTAATTCAACCCACCCCAGAGCAGTGAGAGGCAGCTTCAGACCTTGGGATTGTCAAGATAAAGGCTACAGCCTAAGGAACTGTTTCAGAGGCCTGCATGGAGGCAACAATGTCCAGAGCTCCTTGGAATGACCTTCCACACTTCCACTCTTCTATAGAAAGAAAAACCAAGGCTAGCCTAGAACCCATGCCTCTGACCCTGAGTGCACTGGGAAGCTGTGGTGGGCAAGCAGGTCTCCATCAAGCTGGTCAGACACACACAGGGCCGCGGGGTGGCATTCAGAGAGCACGTTTATTTACAAAGCGCTTTACAAACATTACCTTATGCCTCCCCACAGCCCCCTGAGAGGTAGGTCAGTAGTCATATCTACAGTTTACAGATGGGGAAATTGAGGCACGGAATGGGGGTGTGGCCTGCCTCATTTTAAAGAGACCTTCCCACCCACCCATCAAAAAAATAACAAAATAAACAACCAAAAAAAATAAAAAACACTGATCCTCCATCTCCCAGTACCCCTCCTTCCTCTGAACTCTACGGGTTGTGACCAGCTCTGCCCCGGCACTACCCTCTCCCCAGTGAGCAGCCTGACCACAACCCATAGGGACTTCAGCCCCAGGAACTGTGGTTCAACCTTGTAGATCATCACCGGCCCACACTGGCAGAACCAAGTGATAAGAGTCCTGAAGGCTAAGGAAAGGAAGAGCTGAGGTGGCTTCATTCTGCAGACTCGGGGCCAGGCCAGAAAGGAGCCCACACAGGTTATGGCAGGGATGGACAGATCCTGTCCCAGGAAGCTCAGAGCACATGTCAGGAAAGCAGAAGTGGGGAAGGTGGTGAGCCAATACCCCAGGAATTACAGGGCGAGCACTGCAATTCCCCTGAAGAGGGTGGTCAGTGTGTCCCACTGGAAAATCAGCACTCTCAGGGAAGCTCAACCACAAGGGACTCAAGATGCCACACCCCAGACCCTGCAGGGTAGAAACTTTGGCCTGAGACACTCTTTGCAGGACCTCACTCTTCTCTGCCAAGGGCTGGGCTGGAACCAAGTGGAACAAGCTGGCTTTTCTTCTCCTGTCACTGTGGCAGGCGGTGCCAAGCCTCTCAGCACAGGTCTGCAGGTAGCGCTGGACTGCAGTCTTGCCAATCTCCTCCCTGGCCCACAGCCAGTCCCTGGGGACACCAGGATGACCTAGCAGTCAACTCCAGCACTTTCCCCATCGGGCTATGGCTAAGCAGAGTTGGGAGCACAGGTCCTCCTGGCTAGTCTGGGATGTCAGGCCTGGCCCTGAGTGCACAGCGGGTATTCTAGACCAGGGGCCGCTATCTTGACTCCAGCCCCTCCAGGTACTCCAGGGCCACATCGTAGCAAAAGTGGTACTGATCCTGGGAAGAGGAAAAGAAGGGATCATGAGCTTGGCCGCTTCCTGCGACTGGAGAGAGAAGACCTAGGTGAACCCTGAGCTGCCCTGAGGGAGTGAGAGCAATGCCTGACACCTCAGGACTAGAGCCAAGGTCCCAAGGCGGGATCAAGGTGGGTGAAGGAAGCATATACCCAGGAACCTGGCCAGGGTGGGAGATAGAAGTGGCAGGGTCCCAGGAAATGTCCCTCACCATGGTCTCCACCATATTGGGCTTGTAGTTCCGAAGCGTTTTGGCAGCAAAGAAAACATCCACCAGGCTGTGGCAGCGAATCATCTCCAGGACTGTCGCGCAGGCGCAGAAGGTGCCACTACGGCCACCCCCATTCCTAGGAGACACAGGAAAGGTTTGGGAGAAGTAGAATCCAAAGGGTGAAGGACAGGGCCCCAGAACAAAAGGCATGAGCAGAATTCTGAAGGCCAAAAGTGAAGGGTGAGGCCTTGAGGACAGTAACCAACCAGAAGGTTAGACACAGCTCAGAGGCTGAAACTATCATGGAAGCCTCGAGTCATCTCAGAAGACACAACCTTATGAAAGAAAGGCCTGTAGATTCCTAGAGAAAAGAAGCTAGACACTCCAAAAGGGCAGTCATGCAGCAAACACACAGCCTGGCAGTGTAGACAGCCAGGTGCACCACACCAGAGCCAACCCACCCACCAAAGGCTCTCCCTCCACTCCAAGCCTCGCCCCTACCCCTGGGACTCTTCATTCACCACCCAGGATGGGACCAACCAGCCTTCAGCCCACTTCTCCCTCAAACTAGAACTGGCCAGTCCAGCACCAACTCAGCTCCCTAGTATGCCCTGCCAAGCCCTGGGAGGCTCCGTGAATACTAGAAATGTGAAAAGGTGGGGGTCAAGGGAGTAGCTGTACCCAGACATGAGTGAATTCATGGATTTATCTCTGAGGCAAGCCTATGAATGAGTGAATCGATGAACAAATGAGTAGATAAGTGAGTGGATGAATGGATGGCTGGCTGGATGGATGGCTAGATGGATGTGTGAATGCGTGAATGAATGAATAAATGAATGGGCTGAATATCTGAGTGGATAATTGAGCGATGGGGGATGAATGAGATGGATGGATGGATGGATGGATGGATGGATGGATGGATGGATGGATGAGTGGATGGATGAATGATATTTTCACTTGCACTGCATGAACAGCCTGCAATTCCATCGGCATAAAAAGCAAGCTATGATCTTATCAGGTACACATCTCTAATCAAGCAGATGAAGTCAGTCACCACATGGCAGGGCTGTGCAGTTGCCCCAGGTGGAATCTATACCCAGTGTTCCCAGGGTTCCTCCAGGGAAAGCAGGCAAGCACTCACAGGCAGTGGACCACGGTGCGCCCGTCCCCGCTCTCCGCCTGCCACTTGTCCACCTCAGCCAGCAGGTGCAGAAAGGCCTTCCTGGAGTCAGGTGTGTCCCGGTAGGCAGACCAGCGCAGGAACTGGAAGTGCCGCACCAGCAGGTGGCCCTCCTGCAGCTGGGGGCATGGGCAGCCAGCCAAGGGAACATGAGCACTGGGGCCACTGGCCCCTGATGACCTCAAGGGGATCACTAACGGCAACCCAGCCATCACCCAAGTCCTCACCCTTGGGAAACTCAGACCACTCACCCGAGAGATGTTCTGTACCCGGAAAACTCGGGCCACCAAGTCTTCATCCGCAGTGCCTGACACAAACTCCACTTCCATGAGGCCGTACTGCTGCCGGCCTGGCTCTGGCCAGTATTGCAGGCAGGGCTGGCGGCATAGGCATAGAGAGGAGAGCTGGGGAGAGCTGGGTGGGGCTCACCCTCACAGCTACTCCTCCACCAGGATGCCACCACAGCTACCCACCACCACTCAGCTGACTGCAGGGCACACCCTCCAGGAGTGCTCAATGCTGATGCTTTCCTATCACAGACTGCATAGTGATGTCCAGTGCACATGGCTAGACTCCTCCATTACAACACATCCATGCCAACACGTGCAGTGTGTGCACACAACTTCCAGGGACAGGTCTCGGTCACCCCATTCACCCCAAGCCGGCTCCTGCCTTCTCTCTCACTGCCTCTGACCTCAGCACCAGCCCAGAATGAGGTGTCACATGTCAGCTCCCTGCTTCTGGACCAGGGGCAGCGTCCTACCTACCTGTCCCTGCAGACTAGGCCAGAGACATGAGGGGGACCGAGGAGGCATAGCCCGCATGTACACACCCAGGTCCTATGGGCCGGTCCTTCTGAAGCCTCACCTTCTAGTCTCCTCCATGCCTGGATCCCATTTCTCCATGTGTGAAACTAGGATACGTTCATTTACCTTCTGAGCCTCAATTTCCTTCTCTGTAAAATGGCGACCAGCACTGGACCCATTTCCTGGGGTTACTAGGAGGACCGTGTGAGGGGTACATGAGGAGGCTTGGTGCCATGCTGTGCCTGGCACAGAAAGGTGCTAAGTACACATCAGGGATAGAGATGGTGGGGATGGCAGTCACTCCTGAGATGCCCCCAACTCATCCCAAATGTCGCCATGCTCCATCAGCTTTCCTCCGACCACAGCCCCAGGAGGAAAGGACTCTGCCTTCCTCATTGTGCCTGTGGCCCTGCAACCCCCTATGGTCAGACATTATTGTACTTTTTACCCTACCTCCTCGTTTTCCTTCCCACATTTAGCTCAGATCTTGCTTCCTCCAGAAGACTCCTTGATTCCTTTTCCCCCAGGTTTCTCTGTGTCCAGTCATAGTCCTTTTCCCTCTGTGCTCTCATCACCACCTCACTACTGGAATACTTGCTCTCAGGCTTGGTGATCTAGAAGGGGCTGGGTCTTCTCCCTGTGTCCACCCCACTGCCCACTGCGGAGTCTGGCAGGGACAGTCCCTGGGGAAAAGTGGCTGAATGCATGAGCAAGAAGTGATATCTGGATGAGCTTCCTCTGGGTCTTTGTCCCTGCCCTAGTAAAGGTGGGTTCCTGCCACAGCTAGTATTCACTGCAGACCCCCCCCATTCAGGTGTAGATGCCCATTCTCTACAATCCAGGTCATGTACCAAGAGCCTGGTTCATAAAGAGCCCAGAGAGCTAGGCACCGGTGGCTCACACCTATAATCTTAGCTACTCAGGAGGCTGAGCCTTGACAATCATGGTTTAAATATCTAGCCAAGGCATATAAATCCAAAAGACTCTTATCTCCAGTTAACTAGCAAAAAGCTGAAGATGAAGGTGTGACTCAAGTGGTAGTATGCCAGGTATTAGTGGGAAAACCCAGCAAGAGCTAAAGGCTCAAACTTCCAGCCCCATTGCACTGACACTAACAAAAAAACCAGTTAATGCAACTCCAGTCACAAGAGGCCATTCTCATTTTACAGAAAACCCTCTAGCCTCCTGGAGCACAGAGCAGAGGCACTAAGGGGTCCAGAGCTCGAAGGCATGCAATCACACAGGGTTGGAAGGCTGGCCATATGCACTTCCAAAAACTCCATCTCTGGGACCCCCCAAAAGGAAAAGAGGAGTAGTAGGAGCTGCCCCTAGGCCACTGCTGAGCCAGAGGCTGGCCAGCCTCATAGCAACTGTCACCCTGATCATCTTCATCCCTGCCATGACCTGAGTGCTGATGACCTGCCAGGCACAGCACAGCATCCCAACAAATACGCCCAGTGTTTTTCTCCATGTTTCAAAGAGGGAAACTGAGGCTCAAACAGGTCAATAAATGTATTACCCTAGGTCAAACAGTCAGGAAACAGGAGGCTTGACTTTCACTCTATGTCAAAGGCCTGCCCAATTGAGCAGCTTAATAGAGCTAATAAGAAAACAGAAACTGAATAAGGCAGCCAGCATGGGCCACACAGTCGCTTCCTAGCTACGGGACCTTGGAGAAGGCTCTTTATCCGTGCGGGTCTTAATTTCCATCACTTTCTCAAAGCCTCCACCCCCAGGTCATTGCAGATTGTAATTAAGACCCAAAGTACAAAGCTGACTTCAGCCATTGAATGAATTGCAATAAGTGTGCTTTGATACCTTTGTTTTACAAATGAGGAAACCGGGTCTCTGGGAGGGAGTATGGCTCATCTAATGGCACACAATGGCTAGGTGGCAAGGAAGGGCTCCACCATGTGACTTGGGGCCCAGGATCCTGGAACACACTGAGGCCCTGGCAGTGGGGCCTTACCCAAGCAGAGTTGGACTGGTTCAGCTGGTTGAGCATGACGATGGAGGTGCACCCATAGTCGTAGACCAGCCTCCAGAAGTCAGGGGTGGTACTCTGCAGCGGGTGCAGGGTCACGATGAACGCCGCGCTCCGTGTGTAGCTCTACAGAGAAACTGGCACTCAACCCCTGTGTGCAACCCTGCCACAGCAGAGGCTCTGTTGCAGGCTTTCTCTCCACTCAGCCCACGCAGAGCTAGACAATTGTGTCCTCAGGACCAGATTACCTTCAATAGCCCACTTCTCAGAGGCCTGAGATGAGCTGGGCCCCTAGGCCTCTAGTTCCAGCCCATGGCCTCTGCAAACTGCACAGCAAAAGATCTTCAAAAATGAAGCCAAACTTGCTCCTTGCCTCGAGACCTTTGTATCTACTTGTATCTCTGCTGCTCAGACCTAATTTTCCAAATGTCAGCATGGCTTTGGTCCCTCACTTCATTCTAGTCTTGCTTAAACTCCTGAAACAGGCCCTCCCTTACCACCTCATCAAAAGCAGCCCCAGACTCTCATTAAACCTCCTGACTGGTTGCTCACTATAGAAATTTGCATTGCATAACATTTGTATCCCATATTTATTATTGATTGCACCTCCCCAGCTACTCCAAATGCAAAGTTCAGGAGAGTAAACATCTTGAGATGTGACCTCTGCCTAACACCTTGTAGTAGTTCAATAAGTATTTCTGAATAAACAAACCTATGGACCACTTGCAATGCCATGGATGAGTTTAAGACCCACCCAAGCACTCTAGACGGTAATAGGCATTGGCTCCATTCCCCTGTTCCTCACCTTGTTCTGCCTATCATGCTAGTCTGGCCCCAAGTCTCCCCTTGGGTCCTGCCTTTCCCCACTATGCCTTGCCTCTCACTCTCCTGAGCTCTTCTCTTGCAACTCCATTCTCCTAACCTGGGGATTGCCTCAGCTTCTGGGACCCTGGCCCTTGTCTGGCTTACTCTGGTCTTGGTCCTGACCTGGGGCTTCAGCAAATCATGCCCTGGACTTCACAATCCTGTATGTGATAAAACAGAGACACGAGGTCTCCCCAGTTGTTCCTAGGACTCTGATGGCTCCTGGACCAGCAGTGCTCAAAGTCAGGCCTAAGCCAGGTGCTGGTGGCTCACACCTGTAATCCTAGCTACAAAAGAGGCTGAGATCTGAGGATCTTAGTTCAAAGCTAGCCCAAGCAGGAAAGTTCATGGGACTTTTGTCTCCAATCAACCACCAGAAAACCGGAAGTGGCATTGTGGTTCAAGTGGTAGAGTGCTAGCCTTGAGCTGAAGAGCTGAGGGACAGTGCCCAGGACCAGAGTTCAAGACTCATGACCAACAAAAAAAAAAAAAAAAAAAAGTCAGGCCTAGCCAACTTCTGAACTCAAGCTGAGGCAGCCCAGGAAAGACTGGCCATCCAAGCAGAACCTGACTGGTCCCACTACAGTCCAAGAGGCAGATCTCCTGGGCTGACCTTACATGGCTGGGCTCAGGTGCCTGGAGAACACAGGAGGGGCAGGACTGAGCCAATAGCTTCTCCACCTAGCAGGCCACACCTACTAGGCCAGAGAGCCCAACGTGACCCTCCCAACTCCCAGCCAGAGGCTCAGAAGGCTCACAGAGCCACCTCTTCAGTCCCCAGGGAGTAGATGGGCACACCAAGGCCACAAAGGGAGCAGAAGTGAAGCCATATTCTAATAGGCCGCATACCCCCAGGCAAGCCAGTAAGCATACACCTGCTTAGTATTCCCCTGCTGAGGGGCTGTTGGACTAAACCAGTCCACAGAAGGCTCTTCTCCATCTCCCCCAGCTCTCATCTCCATGGGGGAGAGGGGAAAGAGTCCCATGACACTGTTGCTGCTAGCTGCAGCCCTCATTTCATTCTCTCCTCTCCTGGATGAGCTGCTTGGCTCTACCCCTTCCTCTCAGAAGCATTGTCACCATCCCTGCCCTAGCCACACATAATGTCTGCCCAGAGGAGGAGGATAACCCAAAAGTGTGAGGGTCCAGGTGCATCTGGGAGAGGAAATCATCTGACTGAGGGATGAACGCAGAGCCACTCCCCTTAGCCACATCTCTTTTATTTCCCTAATATAGGGTCTCATATTTCCCTTGGCTTGCTTGCAAGCCATACCTCCAATCTGGCTTTTTGTTGGCTACTTGCTGATGGACTGTTGGACTTTTCTGCCCAGGCTGGCTTTGAACCACAACCCTCCTGATCTCAGCTTCCTGAGTAGCTATGATTATAAGCATGAGCCCACGGTGCCTAGCTCCCTTGGTCATATATCTATAGCCACATTAGCTTACATTTCCTGTCCCAGCTGGATCTCCAGCTGTCTGTCTCTTCTACCTATCTCTCCTGATGGGCTCCAACTGCAGAAAGGAATGGGGATGACATTCACAGAATCTTCATCTGCAGACTGCAGTGTTCTGGAACCCTAAAACTCCAGCACCATCTCCAGCCATGCTTCCAACACCCAGTAAGGGAGCTGAAGGCCCCAGTCTGGGAGCCAAGAAAGAGAGTAGCAAATGGCTCCTGGGCTCTTAGCCACAGTCAGGGAGGACCAGGGACAAGTGACCATTTCAAACTAGGGTCGGGTCTAGCTCGATCTCCACAGGCTCTGTAAACACCAGGTCTCAAACCCTACCCTCAAGCCTCAAGGCCTCCCCAGCCAGAGCCCCCCTCAATCATTCCTCCTACTCAGGCTGATCCTGAGACAACCCCACCCAAACCCCACAACCCAGACTCCAGTGAGCCTGAGAACGACACCAGAGTAGGAACACTGAGTAATGCCTCGAGTAGAGTATTGGTGGGAATGGAGGGCTCACCCCCATGGGCCTGGTTCCCAGAATGAATGAAGAGTCCCCCCCCATCAGAGCTCTGGGCTCTACTCTCTTGACTCTAGAGGCTTCTAGATGCTGCTATGAAGGGGAGTCCCACAGCCCCATCCTGTGCCCCCACCCCCAGTCCTCACATCAGTCAGAGCCGCATTGATGTAATTGTTGGGGTCCCCGTCGGTGGAGATGAGGAAGGGCAGGCAGCGGTCAGGTGGCAGAACGTCCATGCTGCGGTTCTTGTCACGGTTCCGGGGCAGCAGGGCGATGCTACATTCCTCCACATCCAGCGGTGGTGTGACGGAGTTCAGCGTCTACGAGGAGTGGAATGGGGACAGGGAGGCACACCTGTGACTTGCAGGGCCAACTTATAACCTCACAAGGACACTGGGCTAGGTTATTAACTCCATGAGTAGATGGAGGAACTGAGGAACCCAAGCTCCCTATCTCCAGCCCATACAGGGCCTGGACTGAGCTCTGAAACCTAAGATCTGCCTCCCCACCACCCCAGTAACTTTAGACAAGCTACATTATCTCTCGACCTCAGTTGTCCTCAACTGTAAGATGGGAAAGCAACACATCTACTCCATGAGGCTGCCAGCAGGATAAAGTAAGACAATGTCAGCATAGGGCAGAGCGTGGTACACCCAGGGCTCAATCCACAGCAAGACTGGGGAGGACCGTTACTAGCGTATCAGTGCTTGGCTAGGAACAACTCTAGAACCCTGCTTCTTCCTCAGAGCTTGCTCCGGGCAACAGGCAGAGGTGCTGGCCTGCCCAGTTCAGGGATCTGTCTGGATAGAATGTATGTCCTGATTCAAGCCGGTGCTCTGGATCAAGCCACAAATGAAGCTGCACCACTCTCACACTTCGTAGCAACTGCAGCCATTGAGCTAGGTTGTTTTTTTTTACTTAAGACCAGGAGGATCTTGTTAAATACAAACACTATAAAGCAATATTAACTATGTCTTTTTTCTGGGTAACAAAAATGAGGCTCATTTGCCTCCGTAAATGACTTGCTCAAGGCTATTCACGTCGCATAACTAGAGAAGCCAGGATTGGACCCCAGGCTTATCTGGCCTCAGAGAAACCAAACCCTTCAAGGGTTTGAATGAAGTGCTTTGATGTACCACCTCCTCTTCTGTCTCAGTCTTTCCTTGCAATCCAACTCCTTCCCTCTAGCTGTTCCACGGGCTTCTCCCTCTTGTTTGGCCTTTGGTGACCATAAAAATGAAGAGCTCACACACACACACACACACACACACCACCGCCACCACCACCACCACCACACCACCACACCACACTCAGTCCCCACCTGAAACTCTTCCCGTAGCTGGGAAGAATTACTCTGAGGATCAATGCGGATCATCTCTCTGTAGGTAGCCTTGAACTCATTGACAGGGATGGTGGTCTCCCCACACAGGCAGGCCTCCAGGATTGCATCATGGATGAAGATGTACTGTTCCTGGAACAGGAGATGAGAAGGTGGGGATGGATGATGAAGGGACCAGGAGCGGGAGATAAGCAAGTTCAAAGTTGGGCTTTCAACACCACTTGAGGCAATTTCTTGGTCATGTTAGTTTGCCTCTTACTTCACAACCATAGCACACCTGGGAGATGCTTTGGGAGGTGAGGAGATAGCCCAAGGACCCAAATCTAGTGGGGATAAAAACCTGGTATGTCTTGACTACATAGCATATTGTCATTTGACCTATCCAAGACACCACAGCGGGGCTAAGTTCAGGAAGGCTCTAAGAAGCTGACAGCCCACTGTTACAAAGGATTCTTGGGCAGGACAGAGCACAAGGACACCTCTCAGACACACCCCACCCACATCCACCCTGAGCAACTCACTGCAGACCCAAGACCTCGAGGCAGAGGTGGGACATCACGGGTAACTCACCTCGGTCTGGATCATGTTGACGCGCCGGGAGCAGAGGGTCTTCACGCAGTTGTAAATGTCCACAACGCCCTCACACTCAGCCATATCCAGCATCACATCCAGGACAATGTAGCAACCTGTGCGTCCAGTGCCCGCGCTGGGGAGAGAGACCCCGAGACACATCAGAGCTTTGGGAAGGGAGTCAGGACCAGGGAGAAGAAGAGAGGAGGATGGATGCCATATCTACATGGTAAAGGGCACAGGGACACAGAGAGAGGATGTAGCCAGGATGATCCAGGAAGCAGATGGCTGGAAGGATTCAAGAGAAAAAAAGTAGAAGACAGAGCTGGGGAGGCCTGGAGGATGAAGAAAGGGAGAAGAGGAAGGAGCACAGAGGAGATGCTAGTCCTCCTCAGCAGCTTAGACTGGGAGAAAAGGACAAGGTGATGGCCAGAGCTCCATCTCCTCTCCTGGATGTCCCCAAACCTGCACACTCACACCTATCCACACATGCAGTGGAGCCCCAGATACTTCCAGGCAATTGTCCTCCAGTTGAGCTTCCAGAGCGATCTGGCAGACTTTCATCCAAACGCCCCCCTGCTATATGATCACTGTGTGCATAGATGTCTCCTCAACCTCACAAGGAGCCTGTCCAACTTGGCACTGTTAGATTTATCATAGGGACACACACATGCCCAGCATTCGCTTGGGCAGAGGTAAGGGTGTAAAACAGCAGACACCAGGTTTGAAAATGGTGGCATCGGAGTGGTGGTGAGGAGGTATGACAACTAAGTATCTCAGACTTGGCTAGTGGGGGCTGATACCACACAGCCATTTGAATAGACAGATACACTGCTGTCTGGCATTCAGGGACTGGAACAGAACACAAGGTGGATAAGCCTTACAAATACAAGGTGGAGGGAAAGAAGTCCAGCAGCAAAGAGCACAGCTGTATGATTGGTTCTTTTTATATGATATTCAAAACGCATGTAAGATTATCGGTGCCTTAGAAGCCAGGACAGTGATTGTTTCTGGGAGGGGAGAACCTTCTGGAACTAGGTGACAGGTTCTATTGAGGTCTCTTGCGTTGAGCTATACCTGTGTTCAAATTCGGTTGTGTAAAAATTTGGTTAGCCATACACTTATTATTTGTGATATAGGTACATATTGCAGTATCATCAATAAGTCTTTCTTTTTTTCAATTATGGTATCTTAAAAAGAAGCTGGCAGGGCATGGAGAAGAAAGATGCTACCACATAGAATCTGGGGCCCTCCAAACACTCCAAGCAGAGAGGCCATAGTCTTGTGGGTCCTAAGGATCTGCAGAAGCCCAAGTGTAGACGGTTAACTTCTCCAGGAAGAAGACTTGGAGAAAGCACACAGGAGAAAGGCAGTTGGGGTCACAGAAGCTAATCCAGGCAAAAGATGGGAATGGAAGAGGGGATAAAGGAAGTGGCAGAGGTGAAGGCAAAGGGACCAAGCCAGGTTTGGTGAGCATGGGGAAGAGAAAGGAAAGTCCTTCCCAGCCCCTGGCCAAATGGAGCACATGGCAGGTGTGCCACCAGCCCTTGGTGAATGAGAACAGGCTGGACTTGATTGTGTCTGGCCTTCACCAACACCCAGGTCCCCCGTGGACTCCAGTAGCTCCTCAGGGTAAGGGGCTCTACAGGCAGGGCACAGCAGGCACTTGTGGATGCCAACCTCAGAGAACTCAAAGAGCAAAGGGCTTTGGGGAGGTCATTTTCTCCTGTCCCCTGTGTCCAGGCAGGCTGAACCTAGCTAAGCTTTGTTACTGGTCTTAAGGACCTTGATGCTTCCCCAGTCCCTTTTCTCCTTGGGGCTCTGACCTGCAGTGGATGACAATGGGCCCAGCATCAGGCGGGGTGGAGGCCTTTACACGCCGGATAAAAGCCAGGAGCCCGGTGGCATGGTAGGGGACACCATGCTCGGGCCATGCCGTGAAATGGAACTGGCGAACCTCATGCCGGGCAGAGTAGCCTCTCTGTGGAGAAAGCAGTAATAACAGTCTCTAAGTATCTGTCAGACACTTGTTGTGGGCCCACATGTAGAGTGAGCACCTCACTGTACATTTACAGGAAAGACAGGTAAATGTCTTTGGGCCAAGGCCCAAACAGGAGAACCCTTTTGTTTTTGTGGTCATGGGGCCTGAACTCTGGGCCTGGGCACTGTCCCTCAGCTCTCCAACTCAAGGCTAGCACCCACCACTTGAGCCATAGCACCACTTCTGGCTTTTTCTGCTTATGTGGTGCTGAGGATCAAACCCAGGGCCTCATGCATGCAAGGCAAGCACTCTACCACCAGTGAGCCATCTTCCAGCCCCAAGAACCCATTTTTCCGAGGAAAAACTAGACATTCCTTGTCCATGTTGGCCAGACAGACATTATGCCAAACTTAGGCACAAGTTTGCTTGATGCTTCAATACTGAGATTTTTTTTTTTTCCTGTGCCAGTCCTGGGGTTTGAATGCAAGGTCTGGGCACCGTCTCTGAGCTTTTCTGCTCAAGATTAGTGCTCTACTGCTTGAGCCACAGCTCTACTTCTGGCTTTTAGGTGGTTAACTGGAGATAAGACTTTCCTCTTGGGCTGGCTTCAAACCTTGATCCTCAAATCTCAGCCTCCTGAATAGCTAGGATTACAAACATGAGTCACGAGCACCTGACAGATTATTTTGACTCTGGTTTTAGTGTCCGGGGGGGAACTATCTCTCACCTGAAGGTGTGTGAACAGAAGGGCCAAGCAAGTATTTAAGTCAGTTAGTCTGGAAGAGGTAAGCACATAGTGTGTGAGCACACATATGCTGGTACTGAGGCTTGAACTCAGGGCCCCCTCTTGTTTGATTCATGGTTGGTGTTATAACACTTGAGCCACAGCTCTACTTCCAATTTTTTTGTGCTAGTTGGAGATAAGAATCTCTCATATTTGTCCACTGACCTTCAAACTTAGATCCTCAAGTCTCAGCCTCCTGAGCAACTAGGATTATAGTCATAAACCATGGATGCCTGGCCTTCTCTAAGGATTTTAGTGATCAGATGGGGCTATGGACAGGACCTGCTAGTCCATGACTATGCGGCTTCCTGTGCATGATGTAACAATTCTGAGTCTCATTTTTCCTATCTGTAAAACAGAAACATGGTAGACGCTCATCCCACAGCCAACTAGGGCTGCAATCACCTGTGGAATGGGCTCAGCCATCTTGATCTCCTCATCATCTCTAGCTCCTCTTGGTGTCAAAGAGCCTGAGTAGGTCCGGGAAAGGCCCTATGGGGAACAGGTGAAGGGGAGACTCACCCGCTCCAGTGCAAAGGTTCGCACCACGTAGTCAGCCAGCGTTTCCGTCTTCATCAACGTGATCTTGATGTCCCCATACATGTCTGAGTCCTCAGGCCAGTACCGTGCACACTTTACCTGTAGTTCGTACAGCACAGGGCTCAGAGGACTTGCAGCTGATCTCTGTGGCCCACCTCGCCCCCAGCTGGGCCCCCAGGCCAGCTTACCCTGCCCACCTCTACCAGCTTAGTGATCATGACGATGCTTGAACTGTGCTCCTGCCACACCATGCGCCAGAAGTCGTAGATCATCTCGGGCTTCGGCCCTGGGGGCGCAGAGGATGCCTGTCGCTCAGCAAGGCCTCTGCCAGGGCTGGAACACCTGCTGCCCAGTAGTAACCCAGGCCAGGAGCTCTCTGGGCCCCATGGGGCCTTCTTGATCAGTTCATATATACCCCACCAACTGCCAACTCACCTATAGGGCCCCAAGTGTGTGTGTGTGGGAGGGGGTAATGTTGGAGAGCCCAGTAGGCTGAGAGGGGCCCAGGAAGTGTCCATAGGGCAAGTCTCTAAGAGGAGTGGACAGGTAGACAGTTGGGGAAAGAGACATGGCCGGGGGGACTCAGGTAGTCATTGGGCCAAGAGGCACAATCCACCCCACCCCCACCCATGAGGACTAGGCATCACTGGCCCTTCTGCACATACCATGGGTGAGACAGACAGATGGACCAGGGAGCTGGGGAGGAGCTGGTCACATTTGGGAGACACAAACACAGAGAGGGAACAAAGCTGACAATCAGATGCCATAGATCCAGATAGGGAGAAAGGATCAGACAAACAGGTACAGACAGATGCAGAGGCAGACAGGGGCCAAACAGGTCACCAGGGAAGGTAGTCAGGCAGGCGGCAGGCACTCCAGCACACAGGAGGGTGCCCATGGGCAGAGGGGCCAGGTACCTTGAGTGGCTATGAAGTGGTTTGACCTGTGGTAACCCTGGAATAGGAGAAGAGGGTGTAATGAGAGCCTGGATGCAGCCCCTCACTCCCTCAGACCACCCTGGCCCACCTGCCCTGAAGCAACGCCCACCCCCACTCACCAGGAAACCGCCCACCCCCAGGCCTGGGCTTCTTGGCCAGGGTGGCCCTGCCCTTCCAGTCCCCAAGATAAAGGGAAGTGCAGTTGGACATCAGGATCTTGCCATGTGACTGAGAGGAGGATGCAGCTTCCTTGTGGACCGAGAGGGTCTCCCATTCACAAAGCAGGGAGAGTTATTTCTGCTTACAGCAAGGCTACTCTTTGGAGCCAAAGTTCAGAATGACCCTTCCCTGCTCCCAGAATTCCAGGTTCCCTAACCCACCCTCATCTCCACATGCGGGGTAACCAGAACTCATGGGCTCTCTAAGCCCCTCTTAGGGCAACTGTGGTAAACAGTGTCCTTTCCCTTCTAACTCATTACTTGGAGCATAGGGGTGGCTAGATGAAGGTTTCAGGTGGTGCTTTGATAAAATGTTAAATCTTTATAAATCACTCATTATGACAATGAGGAAATCTTTTGAGGCCCTGTCACATATTGTGCTAAGCTTTACCTGAATTATCTTTCTCTTTAAAAAAAATCCAAAAGCTACTTTATCCTCCATCCTCAGAGCCCTCAGACTGAAGGAAAGAATCTGCCCCACACCAGGACCCCCACGACCCCCACGAGAACTCATTTTATGGGACAAAAAAAAAAAAACCTACAAGATATCCAGGGCATCAACTCAGGGAGCAAAAACAGAAGTACTGCAGGCAAGTACAAGGGGAAAATCATGGAGCTCGGGCCTGATCTCAAGGTCAGGCCCCCAGTGCAACCCTTTTCAACTCTTCTGGACCCTTTGGGCTTCCTGAGCCCAAGAAGACCTGGAGACAGACTGCCAGGTCTGTCTTCTTTCTTGCTTGCTGTCTTCTTTCCTTTTGACAAGCAGCCCCTAATTCCTCTATGCCTACATTTTTACAGTATACAATGTGAAATCCAGATGTATTTACCTCCTGGGGTTGTTGTAAGAGTAAATAAAACATTGAATGTTCAATCACTATGTCAAGCACAAGGTTACTCAGCACTTAACAACAAACAGTCTTATCACTACTTTTTTTGGCAAGGGGTAAGGGGCAGGACTAGTGTTTGAACTCAAGATCTCACATCTGTTACACAGATACTCTGCCATTTGAGCCATGAATCCAGCCCTGTTTCTCACTGGCTATTTTTGAGATAGGGTCTACTTCCTGCCCTAATGCACCTGAGCTGCAATCTACCTACTTTAGGCCTTCCATAGTTGCTGGCCCCACAGCATGTGCCACTGTGTCCCCAATCCTCCCAGTTTCAACCTCCCATGTAGCTAGGTGCATGCCATTATGCCCAGCTATGTGTTGAGAAGGGGTCTTGTGGACTTATTTGGCCTAGGCTGGCCTCAAACCTTGATCCTTCCAATCTCAGCCTCTCAATGAATTAGGTTTAGAGGCAGGAGCCTGTAATCCTTTGGGGTTTTTTGGAGACAGGATCTCACTATCTAGGTCAGACTGGTCTGGAACTCATTGATCCTCCTGTCACTGCTACCCAAGTGCTGGGATTACAGATGTACACCACCCCAGCCTCAACTGTTTTGAAAGTTCAGTGGTGTCTCTGAAGATCTATAGAGTACTGATGTCAAGGACTTCAGGTGAGACAGGGGATTTCCTATAGAAATGAAGAAGCCGAGTCTTGGCGTCTAATGAGGTCCCTTATGCAGCTCTGCCAAGTAGCAGTTGTGTGACTCGGTGCTGAGAGGTGCTTCTCAGCCCTCACTGGGCAAGGGAAGCCCGCTGGGCAAGGGTCTCAGTGAAGGCAGATCCAGATTCACAGGTAGAGGGCATCCATTTCCATCCAGCTCCTGGGTGGGCTGACGCTGCTGGGTCTCAAGCACACTGAGGAGCTAACCCATCTCTCAGCCTTTCTAATCCTCAATTTTCCTCTCCAGTAGGAAGACCACAGCAAGACATCCTTCCCATGGACAGGACCAAACAAAGTCAGTGACTGATCATGAAAAGCCTCTCAGGCTGCAGATCTGACCTAATTCTCTCCTGCTATTGTTCCAAGCCACTATGTGGCAGGTTCTCAGCAGAACTGCTAGAGAGCAGGTCAGAGGGAATGGTGGAGGTGGAGGATGGGAACAGACCATTATGGATGCTTCTAAGGTCTACCCTGTCACCCTCAATACAAGCCACCTAAATCCAGTTTATGTAAGATCGTAGCTGAGAGAAGATACCTCATTGGATTCAGTCACTTCTGTCCATCTTCCCCAGCCCCTGCCCGGGCCCCTGCCCAGTGTCAGAATTTAAGCACTCATCAGTAAATAATGGAGCCAAAGAACTTAATGAAAACTGGTCATTTGGACTGGGCATATAGCTCAGAAGTTGAGTGCTTGTTTAGAATACATAAGGCTGTGAACTCAATCCCCAGCACTGCAAGGGAAAAAAAAAAAACAACTGAGCAATTTGCCTGATGAGCCAGCTGGTCTAAAATTCATCTATACTGCAGATGTTTCTGCTTTGTTCCAGTGTCTTCTTTCACTGCTTGGATTCATCCTTCCTACTTTGTCACATGATCCTATTTAAAGCAAATGTTTCAGCAGGTAACCTTCAATACCTGCATATTGTGTGTGTGTGTGTGTGTGTGTGTGTGTGTGTGTGCGTGCGCGCGCGTGCACGTGCTTGCACATGCACCACACCCATGCACACACTTCCGTACTAGAAGTTGAACTCAGGACCTTGAGCTCTTAGTTGCCTTTTTCTACTCAAGGCTCATGCTGTGCCACTTGAGCCACACCTCTGCTTCCTCACTTTTTCAATACCTATGTGCAAGATTGTTCAATTACATTACACAGAGGACACAAATCGAAGCTTTAAATGCTTCAACCTTGGAGGAGTAAATTGCTTTGCACACATGGAGACCAACATTAGATTGCATTGGGCCACATGCTCCAGGGTGCCTTGGTAGGCCCAATGAGGAGCTTGTTCCTGTGCATACACTTGCAGCCTCACTGGAAGCAGATTGAGTGGAGTGGGGGTAGTTGCTATATGTATTGTAGGCAAGAATTCTGATACTTTCCCAAAGGACAAGAACTGCACTCTGGAGTGAGGGTCAAGGGCCAAGGCTGGCTTGTGGTCTTACACAAGTCACTGAACTTTTCTTTCTAAGGTTCAATTTTTCTCATGTCAAATGTAGATGTCTCTCAACATGCAGCACAGTTGTTCGAGAGCATTTGAAGAAGCATTAAGCCAAGACTTCCAAGACATTTCTTATGAGTTTGAACATGAAACTATGGGTGGGGTTCAAGACCAAGTGAGCAGATTGCTGCAGGGAAACTGAGATTAAAAAAAAAAAAAGGTATGATGATCTGTGTTCATCACGACCCATAGAGGGTGCTAAGGCTGTGCACAAGCAGCTACACTTCAGAGCCTAACGGTCCTTTTAAATTTGAGAACTTTACAAACCAACTGTGTCACTGCACTCAAAACAAAGGGCACACCAAAGATAATTGGCTGTCTCTGCCAAATGTGACAGGGGAACCTTTTGCTTAATGCATTAGTCTCTCCACGCTGCTTGAGAGTTTGATAATGAACAGAATTTTAGCAATAATTAAAAGGGGGGGGAGATCAAATAGAAAAGGTACCCATAAAAGAGCAGAGAATCCTAGTCATTTAACAGTATGAAAGTAACATGCATACTAGAAATCAGGTTGCTAGTTGAATTAGGGGTTTGTTTTGCTTTGTTTTTAAAGGGTGAAAAATTAAAGATTATACAATTTTTAAAAATAAATTCCCACATTGGCCAAGTAGCTGGGGGTGAGCGTTAAGCAAACTGTTAGGAAACAGACTTGAACACTAGGGAAAGCAGTTTTAGGACTAAACCTGTAGCTGGGAAGACCTTGACCCTAAGCAGCAGAGACAAAGCCACCCACGGCAGCTTCCCACACCTTCCCTCCCAAGGACCCTGCAGAAGGTGGAGGTAGTGAATTCCATCAGGAATGGGAGTGCTGGGGGGCAGAGGTGACAGACAGTGGCAGCTGGTGCAGAACTGGCTGGGAAAGCACCCAGACACAACTACTCCTGCCATAGTGAAGGATGAGGGTGACCTGACTGGGGGAGGGGCACTGTGCAGTGTCAGCCCCAGACAGCCCCTGGCCAGGCTGCTGAAATGGACGGTTGGGTGTCAGGCATTTGGGGCAGGGGAGGGAAGTTAGAGACAGAGAGAGATAGAGAGACAGAGAGACAGAGACAGAGAGAGAGAGAGAGAGAGACAGAGAGACAGAGACAGGAACAGAGACAGAGACAGAGAGAGAGAGTTTGAGTGTATACACAGATAGGAGGAGGAGGTGGAGGAGGGAGAGAGATACTTACTTGACGGTTTATCCGAATCTTAAAATTTCCAGTGAGGGTACAGAACAAAGCAAAAGAGACAGATGTTAGGCCAGAGGCAGATGGAGGTGGATGGACCACAGAAGCAGGCAGAAAGGGTGACTGATGTGAGCTGGGAGGTAGAGCAGAGATGAATGGCCCAGGCTCAAGGTAGGGACAGGGAGTGGGGTGTCCCTCCCGGGGCCCAAGAGAAGCATCTGGGACCTTAACAAGACCCAAGAGGCCCACTGTCACCAGAACTACCCAAGTCTGCAAGGCTAGGCCTGGCCCTCACCCCAGCTATGGGACAGGATGGAAGGTCAGGAGGAAGCAAGGGGTTCTGGGAAGCATGGAGTGGCACATCTGGCTCCAGGAGGGAGATGGAAGAGGGAGAGAGATGGTCTCCAAAGGCCCTGGTGACCTCATCCCCAGTGCTCTGTGCCTTCCTCCATGGCCTTTGCCCAGGCTCCCTCTCCTCAGCAGCCACCCAGAGGAGCTCCATCCCTGCCTCCTCCATGCCACCTGCTTTGTACAGCCAGCCCTGACTCTGAACTAACTGATGGTTTGTCACCGGTCCATGTTTTCCCAGCTAATCTAGATGAAGCAATGGCTCTTTTGTTTTCTGCAGTGCTAGGGATAAAACCCAGAGCCTAGACATGCTAGACAAGCACGCTACCACTGAGCTACAACCCCAGTTCTCTACCCCCACCTAATCTGAAATTGCTTTCCATATATATACACCTGTCTCCCTGACTAGGAAAAAACAAGGACTGGCCGATCTTGTTCACATCTATATCCCTGATGCCAGGTGCTCATACTATATGTTATAAACAATGCGATGTTCTTCCAAACTCAGCTTGTTACTGAGAGTAAGGAAGTCTGAGCAGAGTCCCTGGGCCCTACCTGTCTCTTCCATTCATCCTTTACAGCCAAGCCCAGGCTTCTGGCTGCCTGCCCTGTCTCTAGTCCCTCCCTCCAATTGAGCCAGATCTAACCGCTACAGTAGCTGGCAAGATAGCCTCAGTGGTTAACAAAGACTAGACACAAGCAGGCTGAGGTTTGAGTTTTTCTTTTCTTTCTCTTTTGGAGATGAGGGTCTCCTTACATAACTCAGTAGCCCAGGCTGGCTTTGAATTTACTATCGGGCTGAAGCTGACCTCAAGCTTGCAATCCTCCTGCCTCAGTCTCCCAAGTGCTGGGATTACAGGTGTGTACCACCATGCTCAGCTCTTGACTTTTTTAGTATTATCTGTGTGATCAAGGACCAGTAACTTCACCCCTCTAAGCCCCTCACCTGTAAAGGAAGGTCATGAAGTACAATGTTGGATATAAAGTACTTGGCACATAATACACGCTCAATAAATATGCACTGATATTTTGATCACAGATGAAACAGCTGAACAACTCCCAGGTGCTTCTGGGAAAAGCTCTAGTTCCTTACTTAACCTGCTACTCCAGCCCTTCCTAACCTCTCCAGCTTCACTGAGTATCATAAGTGTCCTCTCTCCAAGCTCCTGGCCCTTCATTGAGGTAGGCTTCCTGAAGGCTGCTGACCACTCTGTCACTCCTTCCTCTCAGCTGCCTGGCACTCAATGAAGGAGGGGTATCAGAACCCCCATTATTCCCAAAGTAGTTCTGTCCTCCCTGGAAAGTGAGCCTGGAGCAGGCTGGGCCAGGTGAGCGAAAGCAAAGGGGCAAGGCACTCACGTCTATGTAGTTGGCATTAATGTAGTCGGCATTGGGGTCTCCCAGCATTGGATGGAGTTTCACTCGGTGCCGATCATCTGTGGACACAGAGCAGGTGGACAAGGCTGTACCAAGGAGCCCAGAGCTGGGACTGGCAGGAAAGGCTTTCTGAGGCTGAGTGTGAGGCCAGTCAGAGCAGTCAGGCTCAGGGCTGACCAGCAGGCTCTGGGCACCATGGGAGGTAGGCCAGGCCAGAGGTCAGGATCTTGGCTGCGGGATAGAGGAGAAGGAGGAGGAGGAAGAGAAGGAGGAGGAAGAAGAGGTGGTGGTGGAGGAGGAGGAAGAAGAAGAAGACAAAGGCATATGCTGCTCATGTGATTAGCTAGGAAGTCTTCATCTCCCAAATCTCAATTTCCTTCTCTGCAAAAGGAGATGATACAATTTCCCATATCACAGGGCAAAGGAGAGTGAGAGGTGGTGCACTGCTCTGAGAATGCTCCCCTTCCTCGGTTCCCCGCCCCCCACACACACACATACACCTGCTGTCCAGACCCAGCCCTTTCCCCAGCACTCACAGGCAGGCATTGACTCCTGCCGGCTCCCCTTGAGTTTGTCTTTCTTCTTTGTAGCATCCCAGCCTTCAAAGAAGCTCTGCCAAAAGTTAAAGAGGTAATCAGTGGGAGATGGGGATCCCCAACACTCACAGAACCCCTTGCCCTCGAGTGGAATGACTTGGGTGGGATGGAGGTGTGGCCATGATACAAGCCCAGATTCAAAGTGAAACTTATGAGCAAGAAGTATCAGAGAAAGGGAAATAGAAGGTCAAAATTCAGACAATTTAGAAGAGGGAGCCATACAGTTTAGAATACAGTTCAAATCCAATTTTTCAGTTGAAGAGAATGATATGAGTAGGATACAGAAGCCAGATACTGGTGGTTCACACCTATAATTCTAACTACTTAGTTCAGTCAGCCTGGGCAGGAAAGTTATCTTCAATTAACCACCAAAAAGTAAGATGTGGAACTATGGCTTAAGTGGTAAAGCACCACTGCAGTGAAAAAACTAAGGGACTGTGCACAGACCCTAAATTCAAGCTACACTATTAGTACAAGTGAACGCGCACGCACACACGCGCGCACACGCGTGTGCACACACACACACACACACACACACACACACACACATACACACACACACAAGATTAGGATAAGCGTTATGGTCCAGAGGGAAGGAGGATAGGACCCAAGCCATTCACATACAGTTTAGGATTCAAGTCAGGGTCAACATCAGCTTGGGTCAACGTCAGATCAAAGTCTGTGTGGGTGACCTTGACCCAATTCAAAGTAGAGACTACTTTGATAGGATCATAATCAAGCCCAACGTGGAGAATGAAATGAGGATTAAGTTCACAAATCAAACCAGAATTAGAATGTCAGAGAGAAACCGGGTCAGTTGATATTAGGAGCAGGGACAGGGTCAAATTCAAAAAAGGTTGCTTTTGCTGGGTGCCAATGGCTTACACTTATAATCTTAGCTACTCGGGAGACTGGGATGTGAGGAGAAAAGCCCATGCAATTCTTATCTCCAATTAGCCACCAAAAAGCCAGAAGCAGAACAGCGGCTCACGTAGTAGAATGCTAGCCTTGAGCACAAAAGTTCAGGGACTCCACTCAGGCTCTGAGTTCAAGCCCCAAAACTAGCACCAAAAAATAAATAAATAATAAAAAAGATTGCTTTAGAGAGTGTTAGAGTAGGGGTTCAACTGGGGTTGGGCTGAGGGTCAAGATCCAAAGAAAAGAGAGTCAGGCGAGGCCGGGGAGGTCAGGCTGTGCGAGCACCTCATACTCCTGCTTGAAGCCATAGCCTTCGGCTGTCTTCATCTGGTTGATGTGTTGCAGAAGATCGGCCACACGCACCGCGGGGTGCAGCTGCCCTGTGTGGTACGGGGAGCTCTTCCGGCCACATGGGCGCCGTGGTGAGCCCCCCAGGAGGCTGCTGGCCTCAGTGACCCCACTGCTGCGCTGGTCTCCTGTAGTTAGAAGAAGAGACAGGGACTCCTGACACACATGCTCTAGCCTGGGAGTCAGATGACCCAGGAGGACAGAACAAGGGACAGGGGACACAGCCAACCTAGAGAGTAGCTAGACAGGTCCCTGGAGCTCCTGTGTGACCCTAGAGAAGCACTTTCCCTTCCATATCTCAGGTTCCCCATCTGTGAAATGGGCCTGTCACATCAGGTGACCTCTGGAGGACCTTGTGGCCCTGCCACCCTGTCATCCTGTGACATCCCCACCCTACCCCAGGAGGCCTCACCCCATGAGGCCTCAGATCCCCCACATGTCCCCTCCTTCTCCCTTTCCAGGGAACAATCTGCAACACTGGCAACTCCCAGAAATTCCCACATTCAAAGAGAAGCCAATCAAAATTAGTTGCCGCGGCCCATTCCACAGACAAATGTTGGGCACCTGAATAGCAGTGTTTCCCCTGTGCCAGCATTTCCATTGTCAGCCTGGGCTGGGGCCCAGCCAAAGGGGCCAGGGTGAGGAGTTCAAAGTGCCACACACAGCCCTGGGGCCCCCAGATATAACCCCTTCCTGGCTCTCCAGCTCAGCCTTGCACCCTGGTTCTACAGATCATGTCTGAGGGTGAGAAAGCCTCCACTGTCCCTTGGATCTTGGACGCTTCCTCCCACTCATTTCCCTCCTCCCATCCTGGTGAGGCCAGGGACTCATAGTGCCCTTAGCTCTTCTCACAGCCATTCTCTGCCAGGCCTGAACTGGCAGGGGCCATGGGACACTCTGGGGTCATAGGTGCCCCTCCATTCCCTATGTCTCACACAGGCTGTTCCTCTGCCTCCATTCCTTTCCCCCCCACCCCCCACGTTTTGTACCCAGTGGCTTTGTACTCATCCTTCAGATCTCAGCCAAAAGATTCCCTCTTGGGGAAACCTTCCCCGGCACCCAGCTCACAACTCAGTGACCAACGGGCAGAATGAACACAGAAACTCCAGGGCAGATGGCCTTGAACAGCTCATCTTCCTCAAGCCAAATCAGGAAGAGTGCCCTCTCTGTTTGCATCCCTCTCTGGTATGGAAATGACCTCCAGATAGAAAGTCAAGGCTGGGACAGGACCTCCCTCATTCTTCTATCACCTCTCAGGAGTCACAGTCTGGAACTCCCTGAGTTCCACGTTTGGAAACAATTGTTTCCTGTATTTTATCTGGATGTCTTGGTTGCTTAAAGCTGGAAGGCAGCTCAAATGCCGTTAAACTGGGGTGGCCGGATGCCCCCAGTCTTATTCTCACAGATGGGAGAAATGAAGTGTTTTCAAAGAAAAGAGACTGGCTTCATGTCATAGCAGCCAAAGTGTGTTCTAGAAAATACCAGACAGGTTAGATGACTTTGAGGTAGTCCATGAATAGAAAGAGAGGAATAGAAGGAAGATGAGGAGGAAGAGGACAAGGAAGAGGAGGGAAAGGAGGGGGAAGAGGAGGAAGAGGAGGAGGAAGAAGAGGATGAGGAAGAGGAAGAGAAGGAAGAGGAAGAAGAGAAGAAAAGGAGAAGGAGGAAGAAGAAGAGGAGGAGGAGGGTAAGGAGGAAGAAGAGAAGGAAGAGGAGGAAGAAGAGGAGGAGGAGAAGGAAGGGTTCTTTGATTTAAAAGAGTGTGAAATTTTGATATAAATGAAAACAAACAGGCTTCTTCCCTGTGTAAGACCTTGCAGGACTTCCGACATGTTTGGGTTGGTTCACTTTATATCTCTAATAGCTGAATGGATGTAGACCATTCACAAATGCGTTCTGCTGAAGAGGATGCTTTTTTGATTGTTTCCTGAAATATCCTCAGGAGATAAGAGGATGAGAGAGAGTGAGAGAAGGCTCAAGAGACAGACAGGCCTTAGATCAAACCCTACTCCTGCATGTCCTTGGGGACATCACTTACTCTCTCTAAACTTCCATTTCCACATGTCCAATGAAGATTTTTTAGAAGTTCCTACCCAATATCCAGTATAAGTACTAGGATAATGCCTAAGGCAACCAGCGCATGGAGAGCACCTGCTCATAGCAACAGTTGGCATTATTGATTAGTCATTAGTCATTTCCAGGAAACAGAGGAAGTCCCTGAGTCCCAGGAAGTCAGGGCAGCTGACTGACCAGAGTCCTGGTCCTTCTCCACCACAAACTCTTGGTCCAAGACCTGAAACATAGATTCAAAGCAGCTTTCATGGCAAACACATAAGATATGTGCAAAGATTTCAAGGACTTCTGCTGATTAAGAGAACTCAGTGAACCCAAGAGACCTGGTGTTTCTAATAGACCTTTGTTAGCAGCTCCAGAGTGTTCTCCAGCTGGAAAACAGAGCAAATGAGGGCTGCAGGGACTGGAACGGTCATCTTAAAGATCCTGAAGGGCTGGCAGCCCCACAGGCAGCCCCACAATGAACTCACAATGGCCAAGGACCAACAAAAGGCCCCAACTGGTTGAGATCCAAGCTCTAAGCTGGAGACCAAACACAGCACAGATGTTCTATAACAAAGCTAGCAGAAAAAGAAGTTCCCAAAAGGACTCTTCCTTTCCTGGACCCCCAGAAGACAGTTTCTTGCTCTCTTGATCCATGAATCCCGCTGTGGAATCTGAGACTCACTTCCTGCCCACCCCATGCTCCATATGCAAGCATCAGCTGACCCATAGCTGGTAGCCCCTGAGAGGGAAGAAGAGTTAGAAACAGCCTGTAGCTTCAAAGGCACCAGCCAAGGATTCTCCCATGCTCTTCCCGGATCCATCATAAGTATGGAGCACCTGAGAATAACCACTGAACAGCTGAGATCTTCCAGGGAGGGTCAAGGCCAGGAAAAAAAAAAAAAAAACTAGGTTTGGAAGACCTGAATTTCAACTCTAACTCAAGTCCCTTGACTTCTCTGGGCCTGTATCCTCATCAGAGGATCCCCAGAGTTTCCTCAGAAATGGGCATTTTCCCCAACTCCCACCACCCTCAGGTAAAGGAGACACCCTCTTTTACACTCTGGTAGCAGCCCAAACTTTTCCATCCAGTGAATTGCAATGAGAAAATAACATCCCTTAAGAAACAGCCTGAGCCTGGGTCAGTAGCTCACAACTGTAATCCTAGCTACTCAGGAGCAGAGAGCGGGCAGATCCATGATAAACAGCAGTGTGGTTTGGGCACAGGAATCACCAAGAGATTAAGGAAACAGAACCCAGTCCTCATGCATGTAAAAAAAATGGATGATTGTCAGGGGAGTGTCTATAAATCAGAGCTGTAAGAAATGACACTATACAGCTGATTAATCCTAGGTGGAAAAAAAAAAAAAAAAAAGATCAATTCCAGGTGAGTAAAGTTCTAAGTGAGAAATATATTAAAAGTTTGAGGAAAAAAAGTAAAAAATATTTTGTGGCCTCAGTTGAGAGAGAATTCTTTAAGAGAACACAAAAGGTAGAAATCACAAAAGACCGATGCATTTGACTACATTAGAATAAAAACATTCTGCTCATTCACAGACACTATAAATAACCTAGAAAGATGTAACACAAATTGGGAAAAGATATTTGCAATTCATATGTGACAAATGATTATTATCCTAAATATATAAAGAACTCCTAAAAACCACTAAGAAAGCAACCAAAAAGAAAAAAAGAAAAAAACCAATAGAAAATTAGGTGAAAGGCATGAACAGGCATTTCACGGAAGAAGAGACCTGAATAGCCAATAATGACTTGAAAATATGTTCAACCTCATTAGTAATCAGAGAAATGCAAATTGGGACCATAGAGAATTATCATCTTATACAAACTAGTTTGGCAAAGGGAAAAAGACTGGCATATTTTGATCCTGATATAGAGTAACAAAATGTCTTGCATAACTGCTAGGAATGAAAACAGGCAAAGCCACTTTAGGAAACAACTTAGCACTATCAAACAAGCACAAACTCTGTCATCTAAAGAATCTACTTTAATAATCCTATATCCAGGGGCACCTAAAGATTCATAAGAATGCTCACAGCAGCCTCATTTGTGATTTAAAAAACAAAACCAGAAGTCAAATGAATAGCTACAGGTGGCAGAATAAAGAACTAAATTGTGTCATACAATGGAAAACGACATATCCGAGACAAGTAAGGAAACTATAACAAAAACATACACATAGACAAATATTAGAAATGAGAGGTCGGGTTAAAAAAGTATGACTTCATTTTTAATAAAGATTGAAAAATGAATAAAATTATACAATGCATTTTCTGAGGATATATGCGCACATAGTAAAACTATCCCCAGAAGACAAGAAAATTATAAATACAAACTTCAAGGACCTACCTATGTCTAAGATGGAAATAGAGGTTAGTGGGAGGAGCACCTGGCTAATGTTCTAATTTGCTCACATACGCTACATTTTGGTGACTTCATAACTTTGATAAGAATTTCATGTTATCTTTTATACAAATCAACACAAAATCAAATACAAAGGTGCAAAGCTGGTGGCTCATGACTGCAATCCTAGCTTCTCGGAGGCTGAGATCTGAGGATTGTAGATCAAAGCCAGCTGGGGCAGGAAAGTCTGTGAGACTCTTATCTCCAAAAAAATCACAGAAGAAGTGGGAGGTGAGGCTGTGGTTCAAGAGGTAGCATGCTAGCCTTGAGCAAAAGGGAGCTTAGGGACAATGCCCAAACCCAGAGCTCAAGATCCAGGACCAGAAAAAAAAAAAAGTGAAAAAAAGCTCATAAATAGGATGAAGTGATTTATGTCTATGACACACTCCTAGCACATAATGGCAACTTACTCCATCCAGATCACCAGACACAGATGGACATAATTTATATACTATCTTATTAGTTCTCACACCAACCTTAAAGAGAACTTTGTTAACTAACAAAGGAACAGATACCCAGAGAGATCAAGTGACTTGCCCCATGCCACACAGTTAAGCCGGAGATCTAAAGGCCAGCCCAGGTGTGTGTGATTCCAATCCCCCGTATATCTAGATCCCCTTCCCTCACACAGCAAGCACTCAATAAATGGTGAGGCTGCTCCCACCTATCCAATCCCCATAGTGGCACCTGCTCATTGAGACCACTGTCACTGGATCCTGCATCCTTGTGATGCTGGCTGAGTTCCTTGAGGCTCCCCTAGTCATACGGCAAACGCGCTCCAGCTTCTTCTCTGGGTTTCCTGGCCAGTGCTGGTATCCAGCAGGCGCTCAGTGGGTGCTTCAGCTGGGTGTGGGAAGAGGGAGGTGGGAGGAGGGTGGCACTCACCTCGGGGGCTGTAGCCAGGGGTATCCATGAAAGACAGGCCTAGCCGCTCATCCTCTTGCAGGGTACTCTGATCCGTGAAGCTTCGGTCCACAGCACTCATCATGTGTGTCTTCTCCTGGCGGTAGTTGACGGTGGCCTTGGTCATGGTCACTGGCTTCCTGAAGAAGGGTGATGGGTATGTGGGGCTGGACACTCCAAGGCAGAGTGGAGACCCAGCAGTCGGGGGTCTTGGGCTGAGAATGCAGAGAGGCTCAGCTTCCACCCTCCAGCTCACCAGAACCAATCAGCAGCAGCCCCTGGCCACCCCCACCACCACCCATATACACACAGATAAAAAGGCAATTACAACCCTGGAGCCTTCTTCTAATCCCTACTTGGGAAATGGGCAAAAGCAGAAGAGCAGCTAACTGACTACAAAACCAATGCTCGGGACCTGGACTCAAGTCGGAAAGTGAAGCCTGGAGACAGAGCAGGACTAGACACCCCAAGGCAGAGGTGGCTGGGGAGTGGGGCTGACACTAGGCTAGGCCCAGCTAGAGAGGATGGGGTGAGAGGCATGGCCATGGTGCACCTGGGCCTGCAGAGCTACTCACGGGTAGTAGGAATAGGCGTAGCGGTCCCTCCTGGCAGCATGCAAAGAGAAGAGCAGTTGTATGGGGGCTTCCAACCAAGGCTGGGCTGAGTGACACCAGTCAGGAGGGAGCCTGGGCTTCCCAAGGTAGGGAAGGGGCTGGCCAGGACTTCCCCATCCTGAGCCAGGTTCAGACATCAGGGACCAGGAGCAGAGGCCCATCTAGAACCTTCCCCAAGCTTACTGCTGGAGTAAAGAGCCTGAGGGATCCATAGCATTCCTGGTCGTTTGTGTATACAGAGAGCAGGACACATCTGCATGCCACACCCAAACATGCACACTCACAGGTGCACACCCATGCACACTCACACATGGAAACACATTCATACATATTAAAACATAGGATCATGTGCAGACTTGTATTCACAAACACACAAGTACCCTCCACACACACAAACTCAGCCAGAACTATTCTCCTGCCTGTAAACAGCCCTCACCCTCAGGCACACACCTGTAGACCCTGAGAGCCTAGGAAGGAGAGTAGCTGAGAATGGGAGGAAGGAGAATCCAACAGGTTGTCCATGTAAACCTAGGGTTTGCCCTCCCCACAACTGCCCCTAGATGAGGAGTCCACCAGAGACAGGCTGCCCCCTTGTAGGGCACCTGAAACCCAGCATGGATCAAAAGCTTCACACTGAGCTGGAAAGCCAGCACTTGCCTAATACTCCTGGATTCAAATAAAACCCATCTCCTCCACTGAGCAATGTAGGTAAATTGCTCTGTGTGTGAGAGAGAGAGCTCAGGGCCAGGTGTGTAGGGGTGTGTGTGTGTGTGTGTGTGTGTGTGTGTGTGTGTGTGTGTGTGTGTGTGTGTGTGTGTGTGTGTGTGTGTGTGTGTGTGTGTGTGTGTGTGTGTGTGTGTGTGTGTGTGTGTGTGTGTGTGTGTGTGTGTGTGTGTGTGTGTGTGTGTGTGTGTGTGTGTGTGTGTCACTCAAGGCTGGCTTTTTGTTTTTCTGATTAATTATAAATAAGAATCTCTCAGGTTTTTCTGCTCTGGCAGACTTCAAACCATGATCCTCCGGTCTCAGCCTCCTGAGAAGCTAGGTGTGAACTACAAGCACCCAGCTATGGCTACCTGCTTTAATTACAGTTTCTTCATTAGTAAAAAGGGAATCAGACTTGCTTGATCTGCCAGGACTGAAGAAAGAAGAGTTCTCTATTAGATCCTGAGTGCCAGACCACACTTGGCACACGATGGGTGGCCAGTAACCAAGGAAGGCACTAATGGATGGTGTGTGCAGAGCTCCTGGAACACAGCAATTACTCATTCTGTGATCGTTAAAAATGCTGTGTCCCATGAGTTTATGCAGGGACTCAGAAAGGAACTCAGAGCCTGAGGCTTCGCATAGGCCACTCCCATCCTCCCCTCTCTTTTGGCATAGCCTGACTCTCCTGCTGGTGCCTGGCTTCAGGCAAAGCTGGCCCTGGCCAGCTCTCCATCATCTCTCTAGAACTTACTTGTCTTTTCCTGGAAACCCCAAAAATGCACTGCCAGCCTGCCCATTTGTACCCAGCCTGGCAACAGCAGCAGCTATTGGAACCAGGGCCCAGGTTGGGAGGGACCAGGCTGGTTCTGCCTCTGGAGTGACCTTGGGCAGATCCACTGTCCCCTTGGGGGCTCGGAAGCTAAGATGTTGAGGCCACACTGCCTTGGAGTTACCTGATTGGGAATGTGGTGGCATAGGGGCAGCAGACCAGAAAGTTCTCTAGAGCTTACGCCTGCCTCTAACTCCTCTCTGTGTACTTAGACCCCTAGAGAAAGTGTGGGCAGTTTTATGGGATTGTATTTATTTGGGTTTTTTTGTTTTATGTTGGTGTTTTGCAGACAGGTTCTGTTGTTTAAAAAAAAAAAAAAAAAAAGGTTCAAAACCACTAGACTAGATGTCCCTAGACTACCTGCTAGCTCTCCCTCGGAGGCTCTAGGTGTATACAATTCCACGTTCTGAGAGTCTTAGAATCCCATGCCCTGCATTTCTAAACCTCTGAGGGCCTAAGTTCTGAATTCTAAGTGCAGCTGAATAAAATGCACTAGAAAACAATCCCACCCCAACATGAGGGCTGGGAGTCTTGGGGCACAAAACGTTTGCTTCAGTCACAGGCCCAGGAAGACTGTGGTGGTGTCCACAGTCAGAGAGTCTGGGCCAAGCTGAGAACAAGTGAGGAAGGGGTCTTGGGAAACATATGGCTCAGCACCTTGGTTGGAAAGGTAGTGAGCATCATATCCCTGGACAGGGTCCACCACAACAGCCACTTGGTCAGGACAGACAAGTTGGCTGAAGGTACAGTGGGCTAAGGATTCAAAGTCAGGTCACCTTCGTACCTTCCTATTGGCACAGCCCCTGCAGGCACAGAAGGGCAGTGCATGCTTCCAGCAGAGCTCTTGGCACTAGGCAGAGCACCCTGCCCTGGATGCTGACACCTGGCATCTCCTAGACCTGCAGCAACCATATTGTTCGCGGAAACTCATTTGCTCAGTCTTCTGGCTTCACAGTACCCAGCTCAGGTCCATCCAATAGGTCAAATACCCCAGGCTGGCAGCCCTCCACACACATGCCACATTGCTGCATTACCAAACCCCCACCACACTCCTCTGTGCCCACCAGCCATTCGAGGGGCAGGAACCACAGGTAGGCCAGGGTACCAGCCTCACTCACCCCTTGCGAATGATAACAATGATGGCCCCCAGGAGGAGGATAAGGACAGCAAGGCCACCAGCACAGATGCCCAGGATGAGGCCCATTTCCTCCGACCTCTGTGACACCTCCAAGGGCCGCTTGCTCTCCTTGCAGGCAGCTGGGAAGGGCAAAGCAGGACATGATCAGAAGGGACACAGGCATCATACAGCCCTGCCTAGAATGGTCTGAGTACCAAAGAACAAACCTGGCTGCTCAAACATGTACACAGAGGCCAGCTCAGCTCCCAGGCACTGCCTTGCCTTTCAAGCAGATCTGTCTCTTCCCCACACCCCTCATGCATCCTGTATTCAGTGTGAGGTGAAAACTGTTCCCCCAGCAGGAGTGGGTCCCTGTCTGTCCACTGCCACAGACCCCCCAGCTTCCAGCAGAAGGGGAGAAAGCATACTTGGGGCCTGCAGACCCACCCCTCTTGACCTCCTGTGAGATGAGGGAGGACAAGTGTATGTATCTATGGCATGGTCAGGACATGTCAAGACATAACCAACCCTATTCCATGTCTAAAAGAGGATAGTCCCTACACCATAAGCACCTGGCTGTCTCCTCCAGTGTCTCTATCACTACAGAGAAAGGAATAGATACAGAAACCAGAACCGGTACCCCCACCTTCAAAGTTCAAGCACAGTGACTCCCCCTGCTGAAGGGTAGGTCCTGAAGACCCACCTCCCAAGAGCTGTGCAGGTAAGAGAAGTGAAGGAACCAACCCAACTTACCTTTCCTGGCAATTCGGATGCAATTCAGCCGGGTTTCCTGGAAGCACAGACAGGGCAATCTCAGTGCCACCAAGGACAGAACCTCAGTCTGGGTTTCTTGGGCCTAGCAAGGGCTTTGTCAGGTACAAATGATCATGATACTACCCAGGGCAGGAGAACTAAGGGCTAGAACCTAGAAAGGAGGAGCCTGTAAATATAGCAGTGATTTAAGAAAGGGGGATTAAGATCAGAAGCAGAGAAACAGCATGAAGGAATAGAGGGGCCTTATAAATGAGGCTGGAGCCTACATGTATGGGACTGGTACAAGGAAAGAAACCCAGGAAGGCGCAATCTGAGGTGGGAGGGGCCTGGAGAGTGGGGTGTGGCCTTGGAAGAAGGCCAGGCTATTGCCTGAAGATGTAAAAGCAGGATGATGAGATGATCCTCTTGGGAAGAGGTGCCTGCATAGAAAGAGGGCCTCAGGACAGGTGAGGACTAGGCTGGGCCCTGGGGAACAGAGGAAGGGCTATATGGGGAAAAGCCTGGAACCAGGAGGGTAGAGCTCAAGGGAAGAAGGTGGAGCTATGGGAAGGGCAGGAATTGGATCTGAGGGTCTGTGGCAAGCTGCTTTAAGGAATCCTCAGCCTTCCATCCACCCTCCCCCCCTCAACCTCCCTCACCATGGCCCAGCTGGCCCCTCACCCCCTTCAGATGGCTGGCTGCCTGAAAGTAGATGAGGTAGGACTTCCTGGGCTCGAGCGGTGGGTTCCAGAAGCCCCGATATGTCTGATTATCACCCACGGTGAATGGGGTGGCCTCAGGAAGACTGCTGGCTGCCAGTTCGGCCCCAAAGTAGTGCACCAGGCCCCGAGCCAGCGCCGTCTCAAAGGTCAGAGGCACTGGGAAGCAGTCCTGGCCACCTGGCTCCCGCCGCAGCCGCCTCGGCCGCTCCTCCTCCACAATCACCTGGTACACACTGGACAGGGAGGGGACAGTGCAAGTGACCACAGCAGGCCAGGTGACCTGCAGATCCCTCTGGTGCCTAGGACTTTGGGATCAAGGGCCCCTAAGGACTGCCTACATGGTTATGTCTTTTTTTCTAGCTGAGTAAGTCATCTAACCTCCGGGGGGGCCTCTGTTAATTCCTCTGTAAACATAGGAGTAATCCAGGGTGCAGATACAAAGATCAAACAGGGTTAGCTAGTGTGTGTCCACAATTGCCACTGCCATTCTCCAAGCCCCAGGGAATCATGGTCCTGCTCAGTAAAACCATGTTTTAAGACCCACCCCCTGCCTCCCTCCTCAGTGAGTCAATCCTCTGGTGTCTGATCCAAAGCTACCAATGGTTCCTTTCTGGGCCTTGGTAAATTTTGAACAGGGCTATACTAGACTCATGCACTCATCATTCATTCATTCAGGTGTTTACTTCAGAGGAGAGACCCTGTGCTGGGGACTGGGGGATCTGGTCTTCCCTGAACTGACTTCGATTAGAAGAGATGGTCACTAAGCCAACAAGGACACCCTTGAAGCTACATCTCAAGTGCCCTGTCAGTCCTTATGAGCCTCTCCTATGCAAATCTGAGGCCTTGTCCCCCATCCTACCCACCCACCCACTCTGACTTGTCCCTACTCCTGAAGGCTACGGGCCTGTTTATCTCAGCCCTCTTCTGAATGGGTTTGTGCCATGAGCTCCTCCAACTCCCCTGTGGGACAAAGATGAGGGTGATTATGTGAGCAGTGAGACATTTAAATACTTCCCATGACAGAGCCAGCACACCTCAGTCTGTGACATTCTCTGTGACAGCACTGGGGTGCGGGGGGGAGAGTACTTTTCTAGCTTTTTTTCTGCAGTTTCCCAGTGATTTGGGGCTTAAGCCACCACATGAGCTTGTTCCCCATTTCTAATCCATTGTAAATACCAGCCTCAGCTCTTTTCCACCTCTGCTTCCTTCCCCAGGCTGGAGTCAGACTTCTCACTGTCCCAAGTCACCCAGAAATGATGACAACTGACCTTAACTGCTTCTAAGTGATCATCTTTATGGAATAAGAAAATTGAGGCCCAGGAAGGCAAGGGACATGCTGGGTCACACAGTCATCCAGCCTTGTCCTCCTCCATGTCCCTCCTCTCTGCCCCCATCCACCCTTGTCATCACAACCCCTGAGGGACCCTGACTAGTCGAGTTCACAGGATCCAACAAAAGAACAAGGAAAAAGGACAGTTTTCAAGACCTCCCCAACTCGGGTGCGCAAGGGTCCAGGGCTCCAGCAAAAGCAAAACACTTCACAGTTGCCCCCACTTTTTCCTGAGTGTCCCTGTGGCTCTGGGAATCAGCCCAGGACAAGATCTGCTATGGTAAATAAATGTAGAGGAGACTCAGCAGATGAGGAGGAGAGACTAAGAAGGAAGCAAAGGTCTACCTAGAGCATGTTTAGGGGCTGACTGGGACCTTGATGCCCCCCACCAAAAGCCATCACCAAAAGCCATGCATGCACCTTTGCAGAGGAAGGGGGTAGGCACAAGGGATGGAGAGCCTCTGTGGCTGCCAGAAATGGACTTTGCAGACAGACCTTAGTCCTAATCCCAGCCTTGCCACTCATAGCCATGGGACCTTAGGGACAAGTTCTTGGGTTGTCTATGTGAGTTTCCCGACATGCACAGTGAAGGCATGGGGTTCCATTAGGCTAAAATGACTGTGCACATCAAGTCCCTAGCACAGCGTCTAGCCAGCAGTGAGTACACATACACGCCTCAAGCTCTCACACACGTACAATCCTATCTCCCCTACACATGCCTCTCAGACATTCACACTTCCATGCCACACATCACACCACATCACATGGTTTTGATATTGTTGTTTGTGTGCTTGTACTAGAGCTTGAACTCAGGGTCCCCCAAAAAGACACGCCTCACTCAGCTTTTTTTTTTTTCCTCAAGGCTGGTACCCTACCACTTGATCCACCTTCTGTTTCCTTTTATTGATTTATTTACTTGCTAGTTAGTTGAAGATAAGAGTCTCTCAGATTTATCTGCCTGGGATCCTCAGATCTCAGCCTCCTGAGTAGGTAGGATTAGGGTTGTGAGCCACCAGTGCCTGGCTATACCACATCTTTATCATAAAAGACACACCCACCCTGGGGTTCATCCCACTCATACCTGTCCCCAGAAGAGGCAGCTAGCATGCCTGAGCAAACTCGCCTTCCTCTTGAGAGAAAAGGTGAAAGCCATACCATCAGCAACGCTAGAAACAGCCCTGTCTGAACAGCCACACGAGCCTTCTGAAAAGCCCATCCCTGTATCTCCAGGAATGGAGCTAGAAGATACAGAGCTCCCAGAGTTTCACTCCTCCCAGGTATCTGAGGGAAGTCCTCCCAGAAAAGCCTGGACAGTCTCTTCTCTAGGCTAGACACTGTCTAGAGAGCATGACAGTCACCATGGCTTTGGGGGGGGGGGATGGTGGTAACCATCAGCTTCTAGCTTCTACCTGTCCAGGATCCCAGGATGACCTCTTCCACTCAACCCCACTGACAGGCTGAGGGCAGCAAGGGAGCTGGCATGGGGTGAGGCTCTGGGTCAGAGAAGGGGCCTCTCCGTGCAGGCCTTCCCACCTGATGGGTGCACCTCGGCCCTGGGCCGGTCTCAGAAGCACGGTGATGGTGTTCTCGGACTCGCCCAGGGGTGACGGCATGTCGGCATAATCAAAGCTGGGAGCTGGGAAAGGACACAGGGACCCGGTATGTAGCCTAGTCACCAGATCAGGAAGACCAGACCTTCCACCCCATCCATCTCCATCCTCAGACCCCTCTGGGGCCTTAGCATCCTTGTTGCCTCTGACCCAAAGTTCCCTGACTCTGGACGTTGGGCACTGACCTCTGACCTCAACCCTAGATTACAATGATCATAGTCTCCCGACCCCTCTGAAGTAATCCTCCCTAATTTGGCATCAACCCCAAAACTGACCTTTACCTCAGCAAGGGTCCTATGTAACCACCCTCAGGATGCCCCTACTCCCCTCCCCTAGTGTTCCAGGTGCTTTGGGACTGATCACCTACAGAGCTGGGCCAGGGTCAGAAAATCTCACCTGAGATGTTGGTGGTGATCTCAGTGAGGGCTGCCTGGCCGAATCCCTTGCCAGTGCGAGCTCGCACAGAGAACAGGTAGGTGGTGCCCGGGTGTAGGTTGGAGAATACGTGGTAGGTCTCATTGCGAAGCTTGGAAATGGTTCGTCGTGGGCCTGGCACGTTCACCGCTGGGTCTGACGACTCGATGCTCTGATAGCTGATCTGAGGGCAGGGTGGACAGACAGGTGGAACAAGGACAGAGATGGGCAGCCTTGATCCAACAGTCTGACATCTGCCATGTTCCAGGGAAGCTAGGGGTGCACTGGGTAGAAGGAGGCCCAGCAAGTCTATTTCTGGGCACTTTACCTCTTCTTTCCAAGCCCAGGTTCCCTGTCCAAAACCCACAGGTCACAGACCCTGTGATGGTAGTCAGAGTAGAAGGAACCAAGACGCCCACCTCTGACTTCCCCTTCCCACCTCCTCCTCCCACCTAAGGTCCCCTTTCACCTCATACTGAGTGATGAGGCCATTAGGTTCCTGGGGCTCCTCCCACTTGAGGAAGATCATGTCCTCCAGTGGAGTGAAGGTCAAGGACTCAGCTGCAATCCCACCAGGCACTGTGAGGGGAAGAGGCCAAGGCAGAGAGAGGAAAGTGGGCTTTGGCTCTAAATAACACGGTTCTCATCCCAGCCTTACCACTTCATAGCTGGATCACCTGTACTATTCAACTTGTCTGAGACTCGGTTCCCTCAGCTATGAATCAAGGGTGACGATCCCTTCCCTCACTGGGCCTAAATGATATGGCACGCAGAAAGCCTCAAGGCACCCATGTGCGACATCTCATAGTCACTTGCTTGCTCCTGAGTCCTCCAAAAGGGCAGCTGAATTTGCACTGCTGTGCAGGTGGCATTCGGCCAAGGACAATGTTTGAAGTCTCCTATTTGGATCTAATTGATTGTTATCAAAAAAACAGAGAGAGATTTTCTAGAAAAATGAAAACCATTATATTATGGCATTGGGAATAAGGGTAGAGATATTTTCCTGTCTAAAAGTGTAATTACATAAACAATATGTCCAGTGATAAAAAGCTCAATGAGCATAAAAGAAAATTAATGGCTCCTACAACTGCACCATCCAAATATAAATACTGTTAACATTTTATCGAGAACACTTTGAGGCATGGCTTGGGTTTGATTTTAATGCATACTCTTATGTGTGTAGAAGTTGGGGACATGCTTACCTACACACACCTATACATCAGTATTGAGGCTTAAATTCAGGCCCTGGGCACTGTCCTTAAGCTTTTTCATTCAAGTCAGGTGCTCTACCACTTGAGCCACAGTCCACTTCTGGCTTTTTGATGGTTAATTGGAAATAAGAGTCTCATGGATATTCCTGCCGGGATGAGCTTTGAACCTTGATCCTCAGATTTTTTTTTTTTTTTTGGTGGTCGTGGGGCTTGAACTCTGGGCCTGAGCGCTGTCCCTCAGCTCTTCAGCTCAAGGCAAGCACTCTACCACTTGAGCTACAGCACCACTTCCGATCCTCAGATTTCAATTTCCTGAGTAACTAGGATTACAGGTGTGAGCCACCTGTGCCCAACTTAATGCATAATCTTTACAACAGGCTTAACAAGGATTTCACTTAGGAAGAAAACAGACTCTAATAGGAAAATACCTTGACAAACCACTGTAGGGAAGTGGAAGACCTCTACAAGGACAGCATATGCAAGACAAGAAAAAGAAAGAAGAAAGGAAGAAGAGGAGGAGAAGGAAGAGAAGGAGGAGAAGGGGAGGGGAGGAGGAGGGGAAGAGGGGAGGGGACAGAAGGAGAAGAAGGGGAGGAGGGGGAAGAGGAAAGGGAGGGGGAGGGGAGGAAGAGAGTAATTTTAAATAACTTTTGAGTCAAGGAAAAAATTATAACAGAAATTAGAAAAAATTTAACTGAATGACACTGAAAGGAAGTTTCAAAACTTGTGGGAAGACTGGGGATATAGCTCAGTGGTAGAACTCCTGCTAAGCATGCACAAGACCCTGAGTTTAACGCCTAACACTGAATTACACAAACATTTATGGGGTGCAGCTAAAGTAGGGCTTAAAGGAATACTAGCAGCTTTAAATGCAAATTTGAAAAGCCAGGTGGTGGTGGTGTACACCTGTAATCCCAGAACTGCAGAAAATTCAGAGAATCAAATACAAGGCCATCCTGGGAGCTAGGGGAGAAAGAAAGAGAGAAAGAGGGGGGAAAGAAAGGAAGAGGAGGGAAGGGGAAGGGGAAGGGAAAGGGATAGGGAATGGAGGGGAGAGATGGGGAGGGGAAGGAAGAAGTGATGGAGGAAGGATCCAAATTAATGATCTAATAAGTTTCCAAATGAACAATTAAAAAATTAATGAAGCCAAAAGTTAGGCTCTTTGTATCTTCAGCAAAAGCAAACAAAAAATACAAATTCTCAATATCAGGAATGAAAAAAAGGAAATCACTTTAGATCCTTCAGACATGATAAATATGAGAATATTATCAACGGGTTTATATGGATAACGTTAAATAAAATGAAAATTCCTGTCTCATCATTTTAGACACAAACAAAATACACCAAACCACACAGGAATAGAGAATTTGAATATTCCTGTATCTAACTGTTATTAAAAAGTCTTGCTCCAAAGAAAACTCCACACCTAAATAGCTTCACTGCTGAATTCTTCCAAACACAGGTAAAGAAACTATACTAGCCCAGCTCAACGAACATTAGTCTAGTCTTGCCGGAAATGAATATTAACTATCATTGCTCTGTTATTGTGTAGTTGGTTTAATCCTAAACGAAAATCCTCTATGTAACTTTTAGTCGCAGACCTGGCACTGGGTGCCTGGGAATCAGGCTGGCATTCTTACCATCTTCATCAGTCTGGAAGGTGACCTCCTTGCCCTCCTTGCGCCCCTCGGGGTTTGTGAGGACCAGGCGCACATGGACACTGCGGTAGGGCTGCAGGTTCTTGATGGTGTAGCGGCTAGCACCCCGCTCCATCTTTACGCATTCCCGAATGGTCTGGTTGTGGCTACTGCCCGGGATATAGTGATAGCAAAGGGACACAGTGTAGGTGTGGCACCGTGTCACGTTGTAACCCAATGGCTCCCACTGCAGGGTCAGCTGACGAGCCTGGATCTCAGCAAAAGCCAGGCCTTTGGGGGCCCTCATGGGCTCTGGGGAAACAGAGAAGAAATGGGAAGGAAGGAAAAGAGAAGGGGGGAGGGACAGAGAATCAATCCACTGCCAGAAGTTCTCCTTCCTAGGCTCCAAGGAGTTCACAGGACTCCTGGAACTGACCACAAGCGAATCCTGCTCTATCAATTTAGCGGGCAGTTGCTGTGTTACTTCACCCTCTCTGAACCTTAGTTTCCTTGAAGGCAAAAGAGGAAAATTATCAATAGGCTCTACTTCATGGGATCATTGTAATGCTTAAGGCAATATACCTAATGTACAATAAACCCTCAAAAAATGTTAGCTGTTGCCAGGCATGGTGGCAAATACCTGCAATCACACTGCTCAGAAGATTCAGAGTAAAACACATCAACAACAAAATTATACCTAAGTGGCTTTTCAGAGACAAGGTCTTTCCATATGGCTTAGGCTGGCCTTGATTTCCTAATTCTCCTACCCTAGCCCCACTCCAAACACACAAACACACATACACACATGCACACACCAAGCGCTGGGATTACAGGCATACACTGCCATGCCAGGGCCAATCTTTTTTAACAGCACAATGTACAGAATGAGAGAAAAATCTGTGCCAGCTAATCAATTTTGCTACTTAATTTTTTTGAACTCTGAACATTCTGAATTCAAAATATTCAAAAGAACAAGTGGGCAAATTAACTGAACAGACAATTCCCAGAAGAAGTACAACTAGCTAATAGCTAGAAGAAGAAATATTCAAAATCCCTAAGCCATAAAGGAACGGTAAATCAAAACCACACTAAAATTCCACCTCACTCCAGTCAGAAAGCAAACAACAACAAATACTCATGAGGATTCAAAGGGGAAAGGAACCCTCATACACTGTTGGTGGGAATGTAAACCTGTGCAACCACTATGGAAATCAGTATGAAGATTCCTGAAAAAAAAAACTAAACTAAAATAGACCATCCTTATGACCCTACCATACATATATTGGGCATATATCTGGAAGAGATTAAATCAATATACAGTAGAGAACTTGTATATGCATGTTTACTGCAGACCTATTCACAATTGCCTAATGGTGAAATCAGCCCAGGTTGCCAACAAATGATGAATGGATAAAGAAAAAATGGTATGTATACATATCATGAAATATTACCCAGCCATAAAGAAAAAGGAGATTATGTCATTTGTGGGAAAATAGATGGAACTGGAGATGGTCTTGTGGAGCCAGATAAGCCAAGGTCAGAAAGCCAAATACTGTATGTTTACACTTATTTGTGGAATATAGACCTGCTTGAAATGATGATAATGACAACAACAATCAACACACACACACACACACATCATCATCATCATCATCATCATCATCATCATCATCATGAAGACAACATAATGAACCCAGTAAACACTGTTTGGAAAAGAGGGAAGGAGCATTTGTCCAGCATTTTTCTAGAGGCAGGTATAGAAATATAATGGAGAGGATAACTTTTTCAGAACGTACTGTTCACATCTATGGAATTACAGCGAAACTATCTTGTATTATAAACGTGCTAATTCAAAAATAATTTTCTAAAAAGTACAGTTTAGCTGGGAATGTGGCTTAGTGGTAGAGTGCTTGCCTAGCATGCACAAAACCCTAGGTTCCATTCCTCAGTACCACATAAACAGAGAAAGCCTGAAGTGGTGTTGTGGCTCAAGTAGTAGAGTGCTAGCCTTGAGCAAAAGAAGCTCAGAGACAGTGCCCAAGCCCTGAGTTCAAGCCACAGGACTGGCAACAATAAAAATTAAAATTAAAATTAAGAAGCAGTTTATCTCCTAATTGAAGATCATCCTAAACTACAATGGGCTGGTCTAAATCAATCTGTTACTGTATTTTTCTTAGAATTAGTTCTTATTAAAGGCTTACGCTTATTATAAAACCATCTTATAGATATACATATGATACAACTGTATGCAGAAACCAGGAGAAATAGAAGCCAAATAGTTATGCCAAAGAATGACTGGAAAACAGAAACAGAAATGCATACTATTATGTCCTAGGCAGGATTCTAAAGACAAGATTCTAATTCAATGGTGAGTTCCTGGCTGCTAAAGCAAAAGCGGAACCACTATCTATAATAGGATGATGAAAATAGCTGTTATTGACAAGGGGGGACCCAATGCAACAGTGACATACACAAGACAATATGTTGAAAATGATCTGTACAACTTGGGAGGGGGGTTGGGGAGAGTGAAAATGGGAGAAAAATGAGGGAAGGGGTAACAAGTTTGCCCAAAAAATGTACTTATTACCTTACTTATATACCTGTAACCCTTGTATACATCACCTTGATGATAATAGATAAGACAGACAGACAGACAGACAGACAGACAGACAGACAGACAGATAGATAGATAGATAGATAGATAGATAGATAGATAGATAGATAGATAGATAGATAGATTATTACTATTTGAAGGGCTTAGGATGGGTCAAGCATTTTTCTAGAAAACTTTAACATTCCTTATTTTGTTTAATTCTCCAATGAGACAGGTACTGTTAATAGCATTTTCTGTAATGCAGATATGAGACTAGCAGAACAGAGATTAAGTAACTTGCACAAAGTCATACAAACAATAAGTGGTGAAACTGGGTCCTGCTTGAGCAGGCTGGCTCCAGAACTAATCTAATCATTGTTCTTTTCCTCCAACCCCATGATGAATTTACTGTCAAAAAACAACACACTTGGGGCTGGGAAGGTGGCTCAGTGGTAGATCGCTTGCCTTGCATGCCTGAGACCCTGGGTTCGATTCCTCAGCACCACATAAGCAAAAAGAAAAAAGCCAGAAGTGGCACTGTGGCTCAAGTGGTAGAGTGCTAGCCTTGAGCTGAAGAGCTGAGGGACAGCGCCCAGACCCAGAGTTCAGGCCCTACAAATGGACCCCAAAAAAAAAACACTTGTGCATCAGGATGAAAGATAGCTACAAGGGGCAAGCTATGCCATAATCCCTGATGACTCCAGGGAATCTGAAAGTTATCCTGTTCTTTGTTTTGTTGTTATGCTGGTACTGGGCCTTGAACTCAAGGTCTAGGCACTGACCTTGAGCTTTTTTGCTCAAGGTTAGTGCTCTTCCACTTCAGCCACGGCTCTACCTCTGGCTTTTGGGTGGTTAATTGGAGATAAGAGTCTCACAGACGGGCTGGGAAGGTGGCTCAGTGGTAGAGTGCTTGCCTTGCATGCCTGAGGCCCTGGGTTCAATTCCTCAGCACCACATAAGCAAAAAGAAAAAAGCCGGAAGTGGCGCTGTGGCTCAAGTGGTGGAGTGCTAGCCTTGAGCTGAAGAGCTGAGGGACAGCGCCCAGGCCCAGAGTTCAGGCCCCACGACTGGACCCAAAAGAAAAAAAAAAAAAAAAGAGTCTCACAGACTTTCCTGCCGGGGTTGGCTTCAAACCTCGATCCTCAGAACTCAATCTTCTGAGTAGCTAAGATTACAGATGTGAGCCACTGGCACCTAGCTAAAGACACCATTCTTATGTGTTTGGAGTGTGTGCTCACTTGCCATCCTGCTCAGAAGTCTTGCTTGGTTTACTGCACTCAGGTTCTGGTCCAGGCCAGCGCATATGCATTGCCCCCTACAGAAGCTAACCATGACTTGTTTTATTTTCTGAGTCGAGGGCTCAGTCCATGACACTGGCTACTGCTGCTGCTGCTGCTGCCACTACTGTTAAAAGCATTCAATTGTAAATCAGGGCTTTACCACACAGCCAGACTCTACATCCTCCCGCCTCAGGTGCCTGCTTTGTGTGTATTCATGAGAATGGGTCTCAATCTCCATAGCTCTTCCACAGTATATCTAGCCTGGTAATGCTAGCACACTCTTCACCACCCTTGAGCTTGGCGGGAGCATCCCTTTCCTCATCCTCCCACAGGATTTAGGGAAGAGAATGGGAGGCTGACGGCACACTGGTGTTACAGGTTAGGGGGAGTCCCTGGCAAACCAGCACACAGATGCCCCATTTCATGGAGGCAGCTATCCCTCCACTCCTGGCAGCTGCCACTGTGCAGAACTCCAGGCTTACGGCTGCCAAAGCCTCTCCATCTTCAAAAGAGCCAGACATTCAGATTTTTATGGGAAAGCTTCAGATTTCTAAACACTGGGAACCTGCTGGCTGCCTTGGATGATCCAAGAGAGCAACTCTTAACTTGGAGGGCCCGACTTCCTTGAGTGGGCATCTTACTGTCCACAGCTGTGTGATCCGGCATCTACAAGCTAGTCCAGGGGTCTTGGAGAAGAAGGCTGACTTCCTTCTCTCCCTGTCCCGGAGAGAATCCCTAGATCTGAGCAGATTCATGGTTCGAACACAGTGTTGACTACAGACTGATACATTGATTGAAGGGTGTGAATCCATGAGTCTCTCTTGCTTCCAAAAACCATCTGGTACCAGGCAGTCTCTACAGCTGCCAACACACGCTGGCAAAGCAGAGCTTAGGAATGGCAAAGAGCCTTCCCTCTGAATTCCACAAAGCCAGGGGCCACTGAGAGATCAGAGGTCGGATCACACATTAAAGCAGGGAGGGTAATGGCTAGCATCTGTTATATTAGCCCAAAACAGGCTGATTTTAATAATGCTAATGAGGATGCAAAAGTTCTGGAAAGTTGTGCTGTGGGGTTGTGGGAGGAGCTGTGGATGGGGGAGGGGCAGGGTGTGAAGCACCTTGGGGGTCACATCACTCTCCACCCCTCATAGGGCAGGTTACTATGTCTCTAGACACTGACATTGAACTAGGATTGGTGGTTCATGCCTATAATCCTAGCTAACTCAAGAGGCTATGAGGATCATGGCTCGAAACCAGCACAGGCAGAAAAATGGGTGACTGATTCTTTTTTTTGTTTGTTTTTTTTAGGTCCGGTCGTGGGGCCTGAACTCTGGGCTTGGGCGCTGTCCCTCAGCTCTTCAGCTCAAGGCTAGCGCTCGACCACTTGAGTCACAGTGCCACTTCCGGGTTTTTTCTTTTTTGCTTATGTGGTGCTGAGG